ACCCACTAACAACATCTTGGTCTTGTCTAGTTTCAGTTTATTTTCCTTCATCAAATCCATTGCCACAGTCAAGCACCAATCTAGCACATTCACATTTATAGGGCTGAGCAATATCTTACCAGCACCACCTTCTGCAGCTAAGTAGAAGCAAAATACTGTACACCTCAGCCACACTTAGCCACCACAGAAAAATAGAAAAAAAAAAGAACAGGGTTCTTAGAATCATAGAATAGTAGAGTTGGAAGGGGCCATGGAGGCCATCAAGTCCAACCCCCTGCTGTTGCAGGACACCGAGTTGCACCAACCCACTCTGGCATCAGCAAGAAGAGATCTTGATTTTCCTCTTTGTAACAGCCTTTGAGGCACTTATAGGGTGATATCATGTCCCCCCTCAGTCTTCTCTTCTCGAGGCTGAACCTGCCCAGTTTTCTCAGCCTCAACTCATAGGGCAGTGTTTCCAAACCCTAGATCATTTTTGTTGCCCTCTGCTGGACTCTTTCTAATTTACCTGCATCTTTCTTAAATCTTGGTGTTCAGAACTGGACACAATATTCCAAGTGAGATCTGATTAGTGAGGAGTATAGAGGAAATACTACTTCTGGTGATTTGGAAGTAATACTTCTGCTAATGCATCCCAAAATAGCATATGCTCTTTTGGCAGCTGCCATTGTTGGCTCAAGTTTAACCTATTGTCCACAATTACTCCAAGATCTTTGTCTTTTTCAATTCTGTTGAGCCATGTTTTCTCCATCATGTATCAATGCATTTGGTTGCTTTTTCCTAGGTGGAGGACGTGGCACTTGTCCTTATTGAATTTCATTCTGTTGGTTTCAGTCCAGTGTTCAAGTTTATCAGGATTGCCCTGGATCTTCATTCTGACTTCTAGGGTGTTTTCTATCCCACCCAGTTTTGTATCATCTGCAAATTTGGTTATCTTTCCTTGTACTTCCTCATCTAAATCATTAATAAAGATGTTGCAGAGCACTGGGCCCAGGACTGAACCCTGTGGCACCCCACTAGTTACCTCCATCCAGTTTGAGAAGGTACCATTGATGTGCACTCTGTGTGACTGATTTAGCAGGCAATTTTGGATCCACCTAGTATATTTCCATCTAGTCCAGTTTTTGCCAATTTTCTTATCAGAATGTCGTGTGGCACTATGTCAAAAGCATTGCTAAAGTCTAGGTAGATTATGTCCACAGTGTTCCCTTTGTCCATTTGAGAGGTTATCCAGAAAAAAATTAGTCTGATAGGATTAGTCTGACAGGATAAATTAGTCTGACAGGATTTATTTTTGATAAATCCATGCTGGCGTCTATTAATCACTGCAATTTCTCCAAGATGCTTGCAGATGGATTTTTTAATAATTTGCTCCATAATTTTTCCAGAGACTGCTGTCAGACTAACTGGTCTATAGTTCCCAGGTTCATCTTTTTTCCCCTTTTTGAAGACAGGGACAACATTAGCCCTTCTCCAGTCGTCTGGCATTTTTCTTCTTTTCCAAGATTCATTGAAGATAAGAGCCAGTGGTTCTTCCTCTCTCTCTCTTCCTCCCTGACATAGGTCATCATACAGGATGACCAAGGTGCTTTCTATGTCAGCAAGGATGCTGAACTTCTACTGAAACAGATCCAGAGTTTAAAAGATATTGGGCAGTATTGATTTCCAGCATGGGTCAGGTGAGCTGAGCTTGAATTATGAGACACCACCAAATTAATCCAGAAATAAGCATTTTTCTCTAATTTGTGGCTTTTATGAAATCTAAAATTCCTGTTGCACAAGTGCTAGATCCTGCTTCCATAATGGAATTGGCAGGAGTGAATTGGCTACAATGGATATTACCAAGAATCCTTAATGCAGAGCATGTGGGCTCCTACAGTGCTATCTACGAAGGGGTCCCCAAGGTGGCAGTCATGAGACCCATAATTTTTTTCTATTATGTAAATATTTTTATAATTTTCTTTTTCAAAATATATGTACACAAATTTGTACAATATTCACAGAACTTGCTTGCAATTATACAAAGACTTCAACAAAAATGGACCAGACATCCAAAGAAGCATCTTTCTGAAGGTCATGTTTATATGCTACCTGTTCATATATTGAAAGTGTTGTAAGGTCCCGATTCTATTGTATTAAAGGAGGTGAGTGTTAATCCTTCCAATTCTTTAACATCAATCTTTTAGCTATCAAAAGGGTATGAAGAATTAATTTCCCTTCCATTTGTTTATTTCCATGAAGAAGGCAAATAAATTTTGTACTGGAATTTGTTCTTTTAAATTATCTGAGTAATAAGCTCTTCTCAAAACAAAGCTACTGGACATTGCCAAAACATGTTTAAAAGCCTTAGCTCTATTGTGCCACCACCAATTAGACGAAATAGCAGAATTTGGAACATGTTCTTTTAAATTATTTTACTTACTTCACTGTAAACTCCCCAGAAACCCCAGCTGAAGGAATGACTTACATCTAACACCAATTTGATGCAATTATTAGTGATAGCCAAATTACACAATGCCTTATTAAAGAAACATAGTGGTGCCCAATAGCCTCAAAACAGAAGTTTCAGTTGAGTAAGATGCAGCTTAAGATCCACAGCTGTCAGTGGTAAATGCTGAAGTGGCAATTCACTGATTAGGTATTTTGTGGTAGTGCCCACAAGAGTTTCTTAAGTTCCTAAAAGTGCCACCTGTTGCGAGTGGAACATTTAAAATCGCTGCAGGCATGCACCACAGGCTGCCATGGCTTCATGAGATCCAGCACAATGCAAAGGATAGTTGTTGTTGTTAGTCGTGAAGTCGTGTCCGACCCATCACGACCCCATGGACAACATTCCTCCAGGCCTTCCTGTCCTCCACCATCCCCCGGAGTCCACTCAAGCTCACACCAACTGCTTCAGTGACTCCATCTAGCCACCTCATCCTCTGCCGTCCCCTTCTTCTTTTGCCATCTATTGTTCCCAGCATTAGACTCTTCTCCAAGGAGTCCTTCCTTCTCATTAGGTGTCCAAAGTATTTGAGTTTCATCTTCAGGATCTGGCCTTCTAAAGAGCAGTCAGGGTTGATCTCCTCTAGGACTGACAGGTTGGATTGCCTTGCTGTCCAAGGGACTCCCAGAACTCTCTGCTAGCACCACAATTCAAAGGCCTCAATCCATGGATAGTAGTATGGTCTTATTGCACTTTTCTGTTTCCAGTTAATCAAAATGGAAAAACTTGAATGATAGTGTTGTCTTCAGTTATCCTTTACTAAGGATCCTCTATCTTGATACAGAGAGGGGATATACTAAATAATGTATTCTACCTCTGCAGTGTCAAAAGCATCTAATTCAATATGGACATCTGACTTCTGTGCCTCGAAAGGGGAAGATAGTAAACCATGCAAGCATTTCCAAACCACATCCTGCCTTGGATTTTGACTGAAGTCCAATGTGAAATGCTGCTGTAGTTAGTCTGCTATTTCTCAGAAAAGGGAGGTAACAAATAAAGCATCAACTAATGAGTCAAGTTTACCCACTGCAATCATTTCATTGGAAATCCTGTACTAATATTCAGTTATCTAATGAAGTTTTCACAAAATGTTTCATGCCAAAAGCTGCAGGAAAAATATGTCTGTCAAGTCCATTATTAAAATGCCTGAAACTAAATTTAAAACTACCCCCACCACTCTATTTGTTGCATCACAAAAGACAAATGGCATTGGGGTTTTTTGGTTACAGAAATGAGGCTGCTGGCATTTCCAGAATTCAGCTTGTGTATCATTATACTGAGTGGTTATTAACAAAACCCAATAGACTTATTTTGGAAAAGCAATGGAAGAAAATTGATTCTTTTTGTTTTCACAATTGTTTTCTTAACAGCAACATAATATACTGGCTTGGCCCTCTGCTTAAATTTTGTTTTGTTCAAAGATGGGAATTGGATCTGGCAAAACTTTAGCTCATGACTAAAATAATTCCTGCATTAGATTAAAACCTGCAGTAGGTTTTTTATTCAACTTTATTTAATATAAATTGCTCTAGTTGTTTCAATTTGTCACTACATTGAAGAAGCAAAGTATACTGTCCACACTGTAGCTATAACTGTTTACAACAGAGGGGATACAAGGAGACTAGAATACTGTATGATTGCTACATGATGGAATCAGGACTCCAATACAGAACTAACATCTAGAAAAGCTTTCCCCAACCTATTACCCTCCAGGTCTCCTAAATTACAACTCCCATAAGTGACAACTTGGAGATAATGGGAGTTATAGTGCAACACCTCTGAAAGATAGAAGTATTGGGAGGGCTAGGCTAGAGTCTGAAAATTCTTACCTTCCTTTTTAAAATGTTCACATTTTGGCACTGAGAGATAGTCAGCTTGCCTGCCAAAGTGAGTTCGTAGCTAAGGAGAAATTTGAACTGAATTGAAGTTCACTGGGATGGAGCTCTTGGATTTTAAACAGAATCTTGCCCCCTCCCCCCAAAAAAAAAAGTTCAAAAAGCACTCTAACCCTAAACATTTGCGTTGCCAAAAAGGATAGTTCTTAACTTAGTAAAGTTCTTAACTTTACTTAGTAAAGTTCTACTGCATCTTTCCATCTTCTGTTTTAATTCAAAGTTTACACAGTGAAATTAAAAGCAGAATTCATGCATTTTGACTCACAAAGACCAATGAGCCTTCCAATAGCGGACAAATGCCAATTGGATAAAAGCCAATGCTTTTAAAATGAATCCAGCTCAAGCAACAGCTCACTATAACCACTCTAGTCAGCTGTTTCCTTTCCCACCTGGACGCTCCATTCTTTCATGTCCTCCTACTAGCTCAATTGCAGCTGAGACTCTGGAAGTTGCATAATACAACTAGTTAACTAGGATGACCAAGATACCTGATGTATACAATATCTCCACAGTTACTGTTGTACTCTTGGTTTTTAATTCTTTTAAAATAAGCTTGCTTGAAATATTTTATGGCTGAACAACTCTTTTGGAATGTTTAATAAAATAATATTTCATACCTTTATATGTTCCAGAACAGCTGTTGCCACATTTGTATGAAGATCTATGAGCCTCTTCTTTTCTAGCAGCTCTGGAAGAGAGCTGAAAAAAATTACATACAAACTAACTGGCCACACTTGTGTATTCTAATTCAACTTTACATTAAATGAAAATAGTGTCCAAATCAACTCAGGAAGCTGTCCAAATTACTAAAGATAAACAATTGAGCAAAAGAAACAAGACTTTGTGCATACTTTGTGACTGGAAGGCACCTGAAGCAGCGGCATCTGCATATCTCACTGAAATATTTGGGGCATCTGAGCCAGGGAACCCTTGCCCTCACTCACTACCCTGTAATAGAATTTTCAGGTGTGGGACTAGGAAGGAAAGATGAGTCTGAGTGAGGTGAGGTGAGCCACAGAAGGCTTTGCAAAACATCTCTTTCTGTGAATCCTGACCTATATGTCCTTCATTTGTTGTTGACCACCTGTGCTCCTGGAACTGCTTCCTGGGTCAATGAGAGGGTCCTGCTAGCTGGTGGAAGGGCCTTTGCTGGATTTCTACTGGTAGGCAGCCTTTCTTGCCAGATGCTGCTCAGGGTGGCAGCTGAAGAATGGCACCAAAGGAAGTTAACTGTTTGGCACCCTTTCAGAGTCAGTTTGGTGCTGGTATTTTTTTCTTTTGGCACTAGCAATGAAGTTTTATAGTAATGGTTTTGGGGCATAGCAAGCAGTTTTAATTTATTTATATATGTTTTAGTATGCCTTTGAGGGTCTTTGGATGCAATTGAGTGCCCATATAATGATGGTTACAGGTAGGAGGAGGTATGTTGTTGGGGGAATTAAGTAAGCTCAGCAAAGGAGAAGAGGGGTCAGGTATCTTATACCTGTCTCCTCTTCCAGTTTTTCCCCTGAGCAAACATTTCCTGGTAGCTGTATCAACTTACCCTCAGGGATGCTGAGGCTGTTGTAAAATGCCAGATCTGTCTAAAATAAAATCCCACTCATTCATGAGCTGAATGTGGAAGAGTGGGCTGACCTGGCTTGTATTATGGAGACCTGCATGGGGAAATGCGGGGGGTTGCCAGCTCCCAGCTGTACCTGCCTGGAAACTCAGAACAGCACCAACATCACAGTGGGGGCTGTGAAGGGGGGTATGCCCATAGTCTATAACAATACTATCCTCTCTAGGCTTCCTGTTCACTTGAAAGCAGGTCTTAAGTGTTCACACTTTGTGCTGCACACCTGAGACAGATCAGGGATTCTGCTGGTGTACTGCCCATGCTGCTGCCCATCAGACTCCCTGCCTGAGCAGAAAAAGGTGATTTTGGACTTGGTGTTGAGAAATCCAGAATGGTGGTTCTGGGGGATCTCAACTTCCAGGTCAAGACTGCTTTATCCAGGGCAGCTCAGGATTTCATGGCTGCCGTGGCAACCACTGGACTGCCTAAGCATGTCATTCGCCCAACACACAAAAAAGGCCACATCCTGGACCTGTATTTTTTTGATGGCAGTACAACAGTGATCTGGAAGTGGGGGGATTAACATCAACTTGCTTGTCATGGCCGGACCACTTCCTATTGAGATTTAGACTCTCAACCTCCTTTCCCCTCTTTAAGGGTGGGGGACCTATTAAAATGGTCTGCCCCTGGAGTCTAATGGCACTGAATGGTTTCCAGAAGGCTCTGAGGGATTTTGCAGTTGATATAGTTGGCACTCCTGTCAAAGTCTAGGTTGATCTGAGGAATGCAGAAATGGCCTGGGTGGTTGACACCACTGTGCCCAAACACCCTCTTCCCCTGGGCAGAGCACCATGGCATATAGTTGAATTGAAGGCAATGAAGCAAGAAGGGAAACAGCCACAGTGAATGGGTGGAGGAAAGGTTGAGCTGAATCTGACCAAACATGGGCTAGAGTGCATTATCGAGCCTAATCCATCATGTTGAAGCTAGGAAAGGAGACATTATTTTCTGCAAGTACTGTGTCCTGTCCATGCCATCCAGTGGAGCTTTTTCGAATGGTTTGTGGCCTTTTACAATCTGGGCCAAAGAAAGGGAATGTAGAACCCCTGGTAGCAGCCTGCAACAAATTTGCACAGCACTTTGAGGATAAAGTTGCTCAGATGCATCATGAACTGGACACCACATTGATTTATTATTATTAGTACTTTATTTAATTTTTAAATACTGTCTTATATTTTTTTAAAAAATCTTGGGATGGTGTGCCAAAGAATCAAAACGTTAGAACCAAGTGAATAGTATTTGATTTAAAATACAATAGATAAAATATGTATTAAAACTAACGTTAAAGAACTGGGTAAATAAAAAGGTTTTTGTCTGGAACCAGAATGAATAGAGTTGGCACCAGGTGAACTTCTCTGGGGAGCACATTCCACAATCACGGGACTACTGTCGAAAAGGTCCTTTTCCTAGTAACAGACCTCCTCATTTCCCTTAAGGAGGGCTCTTGGACCCTCCAACAATTATCTTAAGGTCCAGATAGGAGTATACAAGAGACGTTCTGTTAAGAGATCCAGGCTCCCCAAACTGCTTAGGGGTTTATGTGTTATTTATTTATTGATTGATCTAGTTCCTTTAACAGAGACAGCCAGAGCACTGTCTGTTCAGATTTGATGGATGAGTTTCAATTGTTGAGGCATGAGGATGTGGATGAGGCGCTTGGTCAAGTCTGGCTTACCACCTGTATACTTGACCTTTGCCTATCATTGATTATCACTGGAACCAAGGAAAAGATGCATACCTGGGTCCAGGAAGTTGTAAACATCTTTCTGAAGGAGGGGTGGTCCCTGCCCCCTTGAAAGAGGCCATGATCAGACCTCTCTGGAAGAAGGCTAATCTGGATACAGAGGTTAATAATAACTACAGGCCTGTGACCAATATTTCTTTTTGGGGCAAGGTGCTTGAGTGGGTAGTGGCTTGGCAGCACCAAGCACTCTTGAAACTGATCACCTAGATCAATTTCAACCAGGTATCAGGCCTGATTTTTGGAGTGGAAACTGCCTTGGTTGCCCTATGGGTTGAACTTTGCTGGCAGAGAGACAGGAGAAGTGTGACCCTGTTGATTCTCCTGGATCTTTCAGCAACTTTTGATACCATTAACCATGGTATTCTGGATAGGCTACTTGGGTTGGAAATAGGAGGCACTGCTTTGCAATGGTTCCACTCCTACTTGACTGGCTGATTCCAGAAAGTGGTGCTGGGGGATACTTGCTCTGTGCCATGGCAATTATGCCATGGAGTACCACAGGGTTCCATTCTATTCCTCTTGCTATTCAGCATCTACATGAAACTGCTGGGAGAGGTTTGGGCTGAAGTGTCACCAGTATGGTGATGACACTCAGTTCTATCTCTCCTTCTCATCTAATCCAGGTGAGGCAGTGACTGCTCTGAATCAGTGTCTGGATGAGGGTTATTAAATTGAAACTCAATCCAGATAAGACCAGAGGTACTGTTGGTAGGTGGATCACCTGTCCATGTGAAGGATAGTCAACCTGTCCTGGACAAGGTTACCCTCCCGCTAAAGGACAGCGTTCTTGGTTTGGGATGTTCCTAGATCCAGGGTTTTCTCTAGAAGCCCAAGAAGACACTGTGTGGCATAGAGCACCTTCCATCAACTTCAGCTGATATATCAGCTATGTCCCTACTTGGACAGTCAGAGCCTGGGAACAGTGACCCATGTTCTCATAACCTCTTGTCTGGACTACTGTAACATGCTCTATGTGGGATTGCTCTTGAAAATGGATCAGATACTTCAATTGGTTCAAAATAGAGTAGCAAGACTGCTAATGGGCACTGAGAACCTTTATCACCCCAGTCCTATACCATTTACACTGGTTCCCAACTGAAGTCTGAATCTGATTTATGGTGCTAACACCAACATATTAAAGCCCTAAATGGTTTGAAACCAGGATACCTGAAGGAATGCCTCCTTCCATATAGACCTATCCATGTACCAAGATAATCTTCAGAGGTTGTTCTCTAAGAGTCCTCTCTAAAGGATGTAAGGAGGCTGGCAACAAGGGAAAGGACCTTCTCAGTTGTGATACCCCATTTATGAAATCAGCTCCCCAAAGAGGTGTGACCTTTTGTCCTTTTGTCACCAGGCACAAATCTGTTTATTTTCCCAACATTTTAATAACCAGGTTTTTAGATGCAGATTTTCTATGGTTTTTATTCCCATGTGCTGTTGCCCCAGGGCTTATTTGATATGTGTTCAACGTGTTTTTTAAAATAGATAAGGTTTATGGTTGGGCCTCCAGGGTCTATTGTTATTATTTACTTGGGTATTTATATAAATGTTTTGTTATGGGTGTTTTGTGTATGTTAATGCTTTGTGAACCATTTCAGAGAGCTGTTGACTATTGAATTGTAAGTAAAAAATCTAATTAATTAATGAAACCTGAAATCTCAGAACTTGAGAAAAAAGCCAAAAAGTGTATGCCATCAGGAAAAAGGGAAGGGGGTTTGTGAAAGAATTCTGAATGTAATATCAGAATATAAAGGTATGCTGGATCAGACCAAAGGCCTATCTAGTTCAGCACATTCTTCCTGTAGTGGCCAGTCAGATGCCTATGTGAAATGCACAGAGATGAGTACATTCTCCTGTCTGTATTCCTTAGCAACTGGTATTCTGAGGCAGAATACCTCAGATACTGAAGGTAATATGGAACCATGACAGGTGGCCACTGCTAGCTTTATACTCTTATCATTCAGAGGAGGAATTAGGTGGATGTTTCATTAGTAACAAAGGCCAGCAAATCGACCTGAAACTTTCCTTGGGTAAACTTGCCATTCCATTCTACTCTGACTGCATTTTCTTGCTCTAATATGCTGCACAGAGAAGAATCCTTTATTTCACACACCTGTTGCTTCCATCTAACTATAGTATAGGATCAGGACATTGGGCATGTGGCCTCAACATATTTTGCAAAACATTAACCTCGAATGACCTGCCTGATTTGAATAATCAGCATTCCCAAGACTTCAAAGCACCTATTTGGCACCTATGTTACTTTACATCAGTTAAATTACACTACAGTGCCATGCCATACTTAAATATTAAGTATGCTTCTAGTTTAACTGGGCAAGGATGAAAACTGATCAAATTTAAGAATTCTTCATTAATATACTTACCTAACAGCTGAAGTCAGTTTAGCTGTGTTATCAGATAGCATACTTATTGCTCCTTCATCTTCACCTTCTAGTCCCTGAGGGGAAAAAAAAACCAAACCCCAAAACAAAACACCATATATACTTGAATATGAGAAATATAGTTGAAACCCAGAAGGTATATTCAACTTATGCAGGGAAGGAACTCCTGTTTAATTTTGCATATGTTTGAAGAATGAGAGGAGGCCATGCTACTGATGTGGAAGAACGATACTAAAATGTTAGCTCCTGTACACTTGCAACTCATTTGTGATTGGTCAGAGTACTTATTCCATCAATAACTAATTTCTTTAGGAATGCTCTGAAAAATACAATTTGGATAGTATTTTACTATTAGCACAAGCATTATATTTCAAATGTGAAACTCATTAAAGTTTCTTCTGTCAAACCTAAAAATATCGTAAACTATAGATATTGTACACACTAAGAAACTCTAAGCAAATTTCTTAAGTCTTAAAAACTCTTCTTGCTTGCCCATTTCCAGTCTGAAAACAGTGAACAAATTATTCTGTTCCTAAGCCTCATCTGAAGTTTTGCTCCTGTCCTAATGGTCCCCTTTTTTCAAACACATGTTCAACTCCCACCATTTCCTGTTTTCCTTTAATCATTTCCTCTCTCTCCCGCTTCCTCTCCCTCCCATTCCCACCATTGCCAGCCTCATATGACATTAAATCCTCTTGAGGGGTTTTTTTTTCCCCCAGAGTCACCTTTCTTATTCCCTGACTTTCTGTTTCTCATTTCCCTGCCTGCTTTACATCCTTCAATCACATGCCTCCGGGTTGCTTGCTTCTCCTTCCCTAGAACTTCTTCCTACCTACTCATGTTGTAAAGCTATTCAATGTTGTTTGGGCCTAAATGTCAACAACTTTAACTTTTCTCATAGAATTTGAAATGTAAACATTCAGTCAACTTTGCTCCATGGGCAGCTAGAACACTAAAGATCAACCCACCACACTAGCTCTGATAGAGTCAATCTATAATGTAATACAACAAAGGTAAATGAACACACTTGGAATTTACTGAGACTTTTCAAATGTAGTTGCCAGTTGTTAAATTTGTATAAGCAAACATGTGATTTATTGTTCTATTTTATTGTATTTTTATCATCTGTTTGAATGGATTGTGTAAACTGCCCAGAGAGCTTCAGTTGTGTGGTGGTAAAGATACGAAATAAATTAATAGTAGTAGTAGTAATGACTGCTCTATGAATGTCCTTCACAGCCCTGTTTAGCTCTTGTAATTTCAAGGCTGTGGCTTCTTTTCTGCAATCGATCCATCTCATATTTGGCCTTCCCCGTCTTCTGCCTTTGACTTCCTCTATAATTATTGACTTCTCCAGTGAGTCTTGCCTTCTCATGGTGTGTCTGAGGTACAACAGCCTCAGTTTCACCATCCAGGGCAAGTTTTGTGTCCAAGAAAAGATCCACTTGTTCACCGGTCAGTTCAGAATATTCACAAAGGACTCCTTCAAGATCATGTTTCAAATATATCGGTTTTCTTAATGTCAGCTGTCTTCACCATCCAACATTAACATTCATACATAGTGTTTGGAAATACAATAGTGGAAGAGCTTGGGTCTTGGTCTCCAGTGAAACATCCTTACTCTTGATCATCTTTTCTACTTCTTTCACTGCTGCCCTTCCAAGGCTCAGTGTTCTATTTTTATAGCTGCAGCTGCCATTTGAATTGATTGTTCCAAGACATATGTGATATATATTTAAATATTCTATCTATCTCTCTATCTATCTATCTATCAATCATATATTTCAGGTATATTTGTAGCCACACATAGTGAAAGAGGCATTTTTCCTCTGCAGTAATCTAGACTGAATGCTATACCCACTTACCTTCCAGCAAAATCCATTGAACTCAATGGGAACTGTGTGTGAATGTGCAGGTGAGAGATAAAGAAAGCATATGCATAAAATGCAAATGCAATCCAATTTAATCAGGGAGTTAACACCTTACATTGAGTATATTTCTTAAAATGTCAATATTTTTAAAGTAAATTGAATACAATCCAAAAGTAATACTTTAAAATTAGATATAAACAAATCTTACCATAATGCTTTTCAGCCGCTTGACTTCATCTTCTTGAGTTCTGTAAGATTCTAGCTCTTGCTGAACTGACTCTGCTACCTCTGGAAAAGGACTAAAAATATATGTACACATTCATATCTATAATCTGCCTTTTTAAAGACAGCATAACTTTTAAAAATGATTTTAAAATCAAAGTTAAAGAGCTTTCTTCATGACATATCTTACATTTTTCATCTTACTGAGTAATGCAAGTCATAACAATTGAAACAGAAATACTTAATTAGCTAATTTTAAATATTCAACTTACCTTCCTTTATGTTTCTGCCAGAATTTATCAGCTGCAGTTAAATCGTATGACTTTTTATTTTTTTTCTTTGGTCTAGCACCTGCTGGAGAACTTTCCATTCCTGAAGACTCTTCCAAAATAACTCTGTTCAAATGAAAATCCTATAAAACAAATTAGATTAATCTTCTTCCCCTGCTATCCAAAATGGGAAACACAATATTTCTGATACAAAATGAGGAAATAAAAAGAAAAATTGTTACAGTGAATATGATTTTAAACTTGTAAGTGAAACCTGATAAAATTTCAGGTAAATATGGCATTTTAAGTGTTGCTTCAAATTCCTCTAAACTGCTTGCATAGTCTATTTCTCATATAAAGCCCAAGGATAGTTCATGTTAGTGGTTTTTTCTACTGAGCAACTGCTGCATCTTGTTATCATCACAAACATATTGTATCTACATTTCTGCAGAACACATTTCCTTTATTTTAATTCTTTCTTCTTTTGTTTTCTGGATACTTACAAAGTCTGCAACAAGTTGCAAAATGGAGTGTGGGGGGTGGTAAGAGAGTCAGATGGAGATTCGTATGGCTTATGTCCCCAAGCATTGAAAATTAGCAATGCTTCATTCAAATTGAAATTAATGAGACAGATTTGTTGTTACCACATTGTTCCACTGGTTTCAAAGATGTAGGTATGACTAATAGTCTAAGATTGGGTCATTTATCTTTCATTAAATAGCAGTGTAAGGTAGGTAACTCTTGAATATAAAATTTATCCTGGAAATTCTACTTGCCTTGCTGGCTAAATCTTGTTTGACAGTCATCATTCATATTTTGCAAGGACCACTACAAAGGTATAAATTTCCTTCAACTGTATAGTATAGACTTAAAATATTTATTTCAAACTTCTCCAAGAGCACTCCTTGAAGGAGGTGAGGAGGGCTGTTACTAAAAGAAGGGCCTTTTCAGTGATAACACCCAATTGCGGAATATGCTCCCCAGACAGCTTCACCTGGAGCCAACTCTTCATTCATTTTGACACCAAGCTAAAACTGTATTTGCCCAGTTGTTAGTTAAACTGTTAGTTTTATTATATATTTTATGTACTGTATTTTAAATTAAGTACTGTTCACCTTGTTTATTTTCATTTTCTTGTAAACCATCTTGATATTTTTAAAATATAAGACAGTGTAGGAATAGTTTAAATATGTTTTGTCTATATGGTTTTAACTCATAGGTTAAGAACAATATTATGAAATAGTGAATTCTAAAGTAATTCACACTTTAGAAGTCTCATTAGAAGAAATGATTAATCTTTCATATTCTGAAGTAGGTCACACTATCTTTAACTTAAGAGGCAGCTAATAAACTAAAATAATTCTGTTGATTTTATTATTTATCAATAAGTATTTCTTAATTAGTTTCTATATTGTCCAATAGCTAAATCACTCTGGCAGTTTACAACAGCACAAAAATGCAGTAAGAATACAATATAATATACGAGTATCAGCAAGCATAATAAGAAAAGTAAAAACTAGATTTAAAACTGAATTAAACTACTGCAACATCTAACACAAACTAAGTTTTTAATCTGTTAGATGGCTGACATAATCCAGGAAGGTTTCAGTGGAGTCTGGGGGTGGAAGGTGGGGGCTGCTGGTGAGAAGGCCTACCGCCTTTTTTTTCACCAACAAAGCATCCTCTGGGGCTGGCAACTGGAGGAAGGCCCCAGATTCTGTTCATAGTGTCTGGGTAGATTGTGACCTGGGAAAGTGTTCCAAGCTATGTGGGGTAGAGACTGTGAAACACAGTAATTTTTTACAACTATTGCTTTTTAAGGGCAATTGTAATACATTCTTGAATGACTTGGAGGAAACACAATTTATAAATGTACTAAAAGAGATCTACTATATGCATATTCCTTTCCCTTTCTTCTTATGTATATTGCCTTCACCCTCCCTGCTTTACTGAACTTCAGCTTTTAAGCTTTTTGTCGCAGGAACCTGTCTTATCTGTTTATGTTACTCCATGAAACACCATGAACAATCAAGTCAACATATAAATTAGCAAATCTATACATACTTCCTAATGTTAACATTTTTACATGTGGTAGTCTTAAATTTAAGCCAGGGATGCAGAACCTTCTTGAGCCTGTGTGCCATTTTCGATTATGGGAAATTTTTGGGGCTGCATTTCAGTAGTTGGCAGAGCAAAGTCCCCCCCCCCAAAATGGGCCCAAAATACCCAAACCACCAGCATATTATAGCTTAAAACTTGTTGCCAGTTGTTATACTTTAGCAGTGTTCTTTCAAGCTTTTAAAAGGTGGGTCCAGAGAGGGAGCAATACCAGAGAAGGAAAAATACTAAATAAATGTAGGTGAAGGGAAAGAGGATGGGGCCAGGGAAAAGTGTTTTCCTGGGCCCCAGGAAGGCTGGAAGTATCCTCTAGGCCTGAGGCTCTGCACTCCTGGTTCAAGCCAGAAAAGCAGGAACAGAACTATTCTTCATGCATTTTCTCTTCTAATTAGGAGGCAGTATACTTTATCTCACTATTTTTCAGATTAAAAATGCTATAAAACTTCGGAATCTAACTATGCCATAGAATCCAACACTGCACTGGTAGGACTGAAATCAAGGAGACGATAAGGAGTCTCATAAACTTTCCACGGACTACCTTCTCCATAATGATGGAGAGAGGATCAGACAGACAGATAATGGCAAAAGAGCGGGTGATAAAACGAGTCAGAATTGGAAAGAACCAAGACTATTTATCCCTTTGACTCCTGTAGGAAAGAGCTGGGATAGATTTTACTGGGAAAAGTATCTGTATAACCTTATAATCTTTTTTTGTTTACTCTAGTTCTATAAAACATTGGCCATTAGATTTGTTGCTTCTCAGTGATTGGAGAAATATAATTCTCAATACATCAACCTGTTTATAAGGAGCAACGGCACTCTTATTACTTAAACAGATGAAGCACGATAAATTTGTGGTTGGAATGCCTTTCAACTTAGCATGCCACAATCTCCCCTGAGTGCTGCAACAGAGAGGAAAATGAAGATAGATTTCTGTGAAGGTAAAATTTATGTAATCAATAGTGTGGTGAATATTTTCCTTTACAATTTAATATTTCTATAAAAGGGATGAAACACCTCAAAATAAATTGAACTATTAAGTATCAGCCACAATTTTCCTGAAAACAACTCATCTTGAAGTTTGTTTGTTTTTTAATAACTATACTCTTCTGTAATGAATTATGGGCTCATATTAAAGATGTCCAGAAAAAGGTTTTAAAGAATAAACATATTATAAAAACAATTTCTCCAGCAGTTTCTGATTTCAGAGTACTAGCCTGCTTAAAATTGGATGTACCTGCATTTTAACAGTTGATTTTTACTAGATATGTGGTTACTATTCTGCTTAGGAGCAGTGCAGATATAAAACCAGACAGGCTATTAAAGAATTATGGGCTTTCTTTCCTTTTGCTTATGAATTCCACTGCCCCCATTATCTTGGTGTTCCCTTACCTCCAAGCAATATTTAGTATGTTTAAAGACACTTGGGACACTCTGAGTCTAGCATGGGTTTTAAATGCCTTGTTTAGAATGCCCCAACAATGTTTAGATATATAATGCCAAACTACAGTAAAGAAGGTGACAGGAAGCATATATAAGGAATTCTGCAGACTGTTCCTATTTTCATGCTTATTATAAATATATAATAGTATAATAAAGTCTTTATTATGTCTCAGCTGACCAGCTGAGCTAGCTTTGTGCTACAAAATAAGACTATTGCAGAAGTCAATAACAAAGAAAACAGACCAAATTAGAACACTGGCTGTTTGGAAAATATGACTTAATGATAAAGCTGATTCCAAACTGCATGGCTCTCCCCTCTTCCAAATCAAAAAGAGCTGACAAGCCAACCAGAGGCTTGAGGGGCATCACCAGATGTTCCACAGAGTCTCTCTCTTTTCCTCCCCTTCTCTCATTTTGTTATTTGCTGTTATTGTCTGTTATTCTGTTTTTATCTGTTTAAAACATTTTAATATTTTTCTGATTTTCTGATATTTTTATTGTACTTTTATGATCAGTTTTTATGGACCGTGTAAATTGCCCAGAGAGCTTTGCTATGGGAAATGAAATGAAATGAATAAGGTGGATCATGTAGCTTTGGGAAAGATTGCCTGGAGCATCTGATGCATCTCAATTGGTCCACCCTCTTAAACTAATCTCATGTGATTAGACTAGTGATGTTGCTCCACCCACTCCTGTATCAGTAGCTTACTAGATTTTCCACAGAACTTGAAACTACCCGTCTTATCTCTAGGTCCATAGGTCTTGGCATCTGTGAATTCCAGCTCCTCTTCCACTTCTGAATCAGAGTCAGCAACCTTAGAAGACTGCATTATAGGAGGAGTAGGTCCAATCCCTACAATTTCCCTTTAAGGGGCCACAAGCCTCTTTGTTGTTTCTCCTGCCACAGTTAACTCTTCTGGAAACTGTTTCAACAGTAGATGCTTTCAAATGGAGTGCAAAGGTTTCTCAAACATTCCTTTCAATCATTTTCCAAATATGGTTTTCAAAAAACATACAGCCCTTTAGTTTCTGCCCAAGTTATTGTCAATGTGGCATACTTTTTAAAAGAACACCAAAGATTACTATAGAATTAAGCATTTCAATAAAATATATAATATTATTTTTTGCAATATATAAGGATCTAATGCATCACATTGTTAAGAATAATTTTAGTATAAAGTACATTCATATGAAAAGTGGTTAATTTTATTCCTGGAAAATAAAATAGGACTGGCTCATGGAAATAGACCTCACTGCCACCACCTCCATATAGTTAGGAACCCTCAAAACCTTCATAACTACACAACTGTTTTGTTTATCTTTGAATTTCCTATGTAACATCTGCACCATCTTGTGGTGGATAATATTTTAACCTTTATGTTATGAACTAAATAGGTTTCTTAAGGCTATAATCAACTTCAGGAGGCTGTGTTCAACCATAAGTGACCACCAGCAGAACAGAAACTGCTAGAAGAATGGGTTTCTTCTCCCTCATGCTCTGACCCACTAAAAGTGCTGTAGATGGTTAAACAAGAACTATAGCCTTCAAACAGCCAAAATGTGTATTATTCTGATGTAACATACTGTTATGTTAACACAGGTAGCACTAAGCACTGCTCTGTTTATAATGGGAGAAAGATGATAACCTAAGCTGATGGCTGATTTGCTTGCTATCAGATTTCCACCTTCTGCTATTTAGGAAGAAATTATTTTTTTAAAAAACCATTTAAGCAGTCATCCACTTAAGACAAATACAATTTAAATGGAGTGGAGTGCACTGTATCTTTTCATTATGAAGCTGACAGTAATGGGAAAAATAAAGAACTTCTAATCATTAAAATGTATTGCTTACCAGTACATCATGCACTAAGGCTTGGTAGGTCCAAGTATGGTGTAGAGGCGTTGCCAAATCGATATTCCTGTCAACCAGAACTAGGAGAGGCCTCTGGAAACTGTGAATAAAAATATTTGTTAATACCTTCATTAACACTGCATATTTAGAAGATTAACAGCCAAAAATTTATCCAGATTCTACAGAAGAGAAAATGAAATATAAAGCATTTCTCCATTTAATGCCAAGTTATTAAATCATGTGAAAAATATAACTAGATGTTATTACCTGAATTGTCCAGCCCCAAGTGTGTCACCTGTGAAAAGGCTGTTTCTGGCATCTCTGAGATTCTCTCGCAGTTTCTTATCTAGTTTCTGAAAAAGATTTAGCCTCGTTATCATATATTTACAATTATGGAAAAGAAAAAAGAGCTTGCAGGTTTCAGCGTAGCCTACATGGGAACAGATCAAAAAGATCAGGATGGAAGAATGGCATAAATCTCTTACTGGAAACTGAAAAGCATGACATAAATCTTTCAGTAATAAATGAAAAACAGACATATCCAGTCCCTAGACGACCTAGTTTTCTCCCTTTGTTGCTGGGAAATTTCATTTTCCCAGAGTTCTAAACACAATTTATAGTTGCTAGATATATGAAAACGTCTGCCCAGCAGCTAACACTTCCATTACTATTGAGATGAATACCATGGATATCTTTTATAGAGTTCCTATGACACCATCTAATAGAAGAAACATAGAGTGAGTCCGAAGGGGACTCCCAGGCCATCTAGTCTGACCCCTGGCTCCAGCCGACTCCGCTCATGACATGCCTACCATGTGCATGCCTAGCCTATCCTTGAACACCCTCACCGATGGGGCCTCAATCATCTCCTGTGAAAGCCCATTCCATACCCTTGGGGTCCTAACTGTCAGGAAGTACTTCCTGGCATCCAAAGTGAACCTTGGTTCCCTGAGCTTGGCTCTGTTGGAGCTCATCTGCCTTCCTCAGCAGAGGACAGGTCTCTACCCACATCCATGTGACACCCCTTCACGTACCTATATGTCGCCAACAGATCCCCTTGGAGTCTCCTCTTCAGGCTGAAAAGACCCAGTTCCCTCAGTCTCGCCTCATACAGCTTTCCCTGCAATCCAGTCACCATCCTTGTGGTCCTACGCTGCACTGACTCTAACCTGGCTATATCCTTCCTGAAATGTGGAGTCCTGAACTGAACACAATACTCCAGTTGCAGGTGCACCAGAGTTGTATAAAATGGTAGTAATACCTCTCTCGATCTACACAAGCCATGCCTTCTACTAAAGACTTCCCTCTTCCTCTCCAACACCACCACCACCACCCTATTTCAGATCTGTTGCAGAGAAATATAAACGTAGCATCAAGGCTACTGTCTTATGTATAACTACCTGGGAATAAGTCCCAGTGAATTCAGTGAGGCTAGTGTACTTGTGCATAGGAATGCACTGTACCAATTAAAAAACCTTCCCTCTTGGAAATGAATGTCAATATAGGACCGTAATAAAGCAGTCAGGCCATTTTCTCAGGGTAACTAGAAAAAGGAAGGGGAGTAGACAAAAGCACTCCAATGTAGAACATATTGCAGCATACCAGATTCTCACATATGGTTTGTGTCAATAGAATTGGGATGTGGCAATTGTTCCCCACAGTTCTGCATGTTGTCAAAACGTACTTGGGAGAGTTAGGGCCCCTTTAAAGTAGGTTTGGGGAGAGAGGAGGCTGTAAGGTTGGAGGAGAGTGGGAGAAAACCCTGTTGCACAAAGACTTCTGTTCAAACACTTCCTTCTACTCAGAGTTCATCTCTTTCACTCAAATGGGAAATACTTTACCCAGCACAATCCCTGGAATAATTATTTTTGTTCTTCAGCTGGGTAAAGATACTATAGTGATGGTGTTTAGACACTGAAATCCTGGTTCAATAGGTCATGGCATATGTGACTGCTTCTTCCACATGCAGCCTCTTCACTTTGCACAAGCATGAGGCAAACCAGAAATATGCAATCAATCATAGTTTTATTATGTTCAAATCGGGAATTATGGTTGAAAGTTTTCAAAATGTCAGAATTTTTGTGATGCAATATAGCTCAGGAAGGAAAAGCAAGTTATATTCAATCCAACAGTAGCAGAAAAACTGCTACTGGTGGTGTTTCATGAACATCTGTGTTAACAGAATAACTGGCTCGACTAGACCAAGCAACAACTAATGTAATGAAGTTAAACTGAACTATGAAACTGTTCATGCAAGTAACAGTACTGGAATTGAAGCACATAAGATAGAAAACAAACTGTGCATAGATTGTAGAAACTTTGTGCTGGCTGGATGGTATCATTTGATATCACCCATGTCTGTCTGTCTTTCTGTAATCCTTTTTCTTCCTAATGCCTACCATAATATATATTTTAATAATTAATTAGCTGGGGTATTTCATAACTCACCACTGCCACCATTTCTGCTGCTGTTCCTCTTGAACACCTGATTATTGGAATAGCTCCTATTAAAATTTAAAACAAGATCTTACATATATTAACTGTTATAAAACCTAGCATATATTCTTTTTAAGGTAGATTAATTTTATGTTCTGTTTCCTTGGACATTTTATTGAAGCAATATGGACTAGTATCAATGAAGTGCTATTTTGAAAGATTGCTCAGAAATTCCCTTATTCAAAGATGGAAAGCAGCCCAAAGTGACATCTCAGAAACATTAGCCTGCAATCTACCATCTTATTTCTTAGCTTCACCAATGGATCATTTTATAGTTTTGATATAAAGCAGGATGACTACATATTTTGCAGATGACACTGATATACATTTCTGAAATCACACTCTAAATTAATTGCAGTGTCCGTCACAGAGTATCACAGTCACAATGAATGTGTATACTTAAATGGAAAGTGGCATCCACTGGTGTAAAAAACTAAAAGCAAGTTCTGTAAACAATTTCTGAGTTTATTACCAGGAAGATATTTGGTAAGCTTATAAGTATTTATAAGCTTATTTGATTTAAACAAACTTTTAAATGTTTTAACAGATAGAATGAAATCGCTTAGTTTTGTCCTGATAAAATCTCTACCGATTAAGAACAGTGCATAGACCAAAAGGTGTATCTAGCCCAGCATTGTGCTTACAAAGTGATTATCTAGTCACTGTGGGAAACCCACAACTGGAAAATTAATGCAACAGTACCCACTCAGTCATGTCATGCAGCAAGTTGTATTCGGAGGCATACTAATTCTGGAGGTAATATATAGCCATCATAAACAGAAGCCATCAATAGTGTTAACCTTCATGTTTAACTATGCACTAGCAGTAGCTCCTTTTAGCTATCCTGCATCTCCCTGCATTCAGTTTAATTCCATGGTATGACCGTGGTTTCTAGTATTACGGGTTAGGAAAAAAACATTTCCCTTCCTACTTTCTCCACAATATGCATCTTTTTGTCTACCTCTATGTCTACCTGAACACACTATTTTTCTAAGCTAAATAATCTAAGACATTGTAACCTTTCCCCCTAGAGGAGTTGTTCCACCCTCTTGAACACTTTGGTTGCTCTTTCTTTACCTAGCCCTAACCCTACGTTAGATTCCATTGAAATATACACGAAGCTGTAATGTTTTGCCCCAATCTGCCCCATCTTATACTTGTTTATACTGAATTTCAATGCCTATTTTTATTGGTTTGGAGGGAACCTTTTGGAACTCCTTGCAATCTTCCTTTGTGTTAACCACCCTAAACAATGTATTACTACCACCAAACGCAGCCACTTCACTGCTCACTCCTAATTTCAGATCACTTATGAACAAGTTAAAACATACCAGACACAATGTGGTACACTGCTGTGAACATTTCTTCACTGAGAGAATTGTCTGCTTATTCCTATTCTTTTCTATTTCTTTTTCTGCCAACTTTTATGGTGCCCTTGTTGTGCAGTTTGGCATATTTTCCATTATTCTTAACCATGGACATTCATCCTTCATTCCATCTGAATTCCTCCTCCTCTCTCCTTTCAGTATTATTTATGGCAAAAACTTACACCATTGTTAATATTAAGCATGATGAACTGTGAACCAGAACCAAGACTAAAGTTTATTTGCAACTCTGGGAAATTATTGCCATATGAATTAGCCTCAGTGTAGATGTAACATGAGAAGATACTTCCTGCTCAAGCAGGAAGAGAGGGTGAACATTTAGGCAGCAGAGGAGGATGTGTATAAGAAATATAGTATCTGCACTGGGCTTGTGTGGATAGGTGCATTTACCTTCTTTAAGAAGCATGAATTTAAATGACCTTCATACTTACCAAGTGTAACAAAAAAACAAAAAAGGCTGTCCACAATTGTGTCCATAATGGTTTCCATTTCCGTGTCTGTTATATCTGGTCTGTTAATGGCTATAATATCAAAAAGGGGAAAACATTTGGGTTACCATGAATTTTATATGTATACTATTCATTTCAAGCAAAATATTCAAAGTTAAAAGTTCGCAACACTATAAGACTAAAAGAACAACTTAACAAACTCTACCTATGGTTCTTGTTCTGATACAAGATATATTTAATATGTTAACTCTATGAAGTCGCTTTGACTAAACAGAAGTAAATCTTATGCCTCTGGGCAAAGTAATCCTGTCAACAGTTAGGTGAGGGAGATCTGAAGATGGAGAAAACCCCTTATCTAAAACTTGTGCTGGTAAGGGAAAAAGGGAGAATTTTTTGTTTGTATTTCTTTCCTCCTTTCAAATTATTTTCTCTTTACAGTTGCAACTTCTGTCTCATTTGTTACAGCAGGAAGCAAAATATGTGTTAGCAATAGGGCTGGCATACGTTTTGTCCACTTCTGGGGGCATGTCAAAGGATTACAGACTATGGGTCCACATGATTCAAGGTTTCCCCTTATCTTCCCAGACAGGATACTCCCTCTAGGCCTCCACCAATGTTGGAAAGGCAGGAGCAACAGAAATTTCAGTGATGACTGAGAGGGGAGTTGCAATGTTGGATCCTGAAGCAGGACATCTGGCTTCATGCTTGGAGGGAAAGACCAGAAAAAGGATCTTCTTCCCAGGGACAAAGGAATGACAGTCTTACTTTCATAAATTAGTTAAACAATCCATCACTATCTCAAGAGTAAATCTAGCAGTGAATCATGATGAACAGCAGTAAATTTCTTGAGGCTTAAGTCAGTTTGAAATAATAAAATGTCAGATTAATATTAGAAAATGCATATGCACACACATAATTACATCATTATGGTATCTAATGGGGTCACCTTGCAAGTGCTGGTTCTATTTTGCTTCCTGCAGCAACTGCTTGCAAAACAGCACTTTCACACCTGTACAAATAAGTCTAGAACCAAGTGTAAATGTTCATCTCCATGCTGGAACAGGTAAGCAGAGCTCCCTTTTCTGAGCTCCACTGATGTCTTCCATTCAGGTAATTTCTAGAAGTACGATACCCCAGTTGTGCAAAGAGTCTCTCCTGTAATCATACAGGCACAATAGAACAGTTCCCCAAATGTTTTATGGTTTTGTTATATTATGGTGTACTGTAGCATATTTTTATTATTTCTTTTATATAATCTAGAAAGAAGGATATATTAAAATATTTTAATAAATATATAAAATGTTCATCTAATATGCAAGACATCAATTTAACAAATGTTATTAAAATAAGCCACCTACCACGATATGAAACAAGATCCTTATTCTGATTGCACAGTACAAACATATCATCTTCCAAAGTAATGAAATTGAGATATTGGTCAAAAACCTATCAATACAAAGAGATAATTACTAGGAATAATATGCAACTTTAATTGCTTTATATTTTGATATCAACTGCAAGTTTAACATTTTTATTTAAGTAACAAGAAGGGTTTATATCCAATGGGACTTTATCTTCATAGAAACACTTGCACAAGCACCTGATTTATACCAGTCCTCCAATCTACTTAAAATTCCCACTTCCCACAAAACCTGCTCCTGAGTGTCAAGGTACGCTTCAGAACAAGATGTGGTACAGACGTAAGTTCTCAGTTTGTTGCAGCAATGGTTATGGGGAATTGCCAAAAGTCAGGAGCCTCATCTTGCACAAGTGGGCATTCTCTTTTGCCAAGGCAAGCTACTATTAGATACAACCAACTTATCATTTATACATATTGTGAGAAATAGACAAACATGAAACAAACATATTTCAACTAACTGCCCAGTTGATGCAGACCATCTTTACTGCCACATTAAGTGCATAAGTTAAGTAAACTAAGTATTTATTATTATACATTATTTATTTGTAATGTATTTCAGTATGACCATGTTCACATATAACATGGCAATTCCTGAGCCATTTCCACAACTGACAATGGGCAACTTCTGGGTTCACTCTGGATTGTTTAGCCCATAAACAACCCAAAGTTTCTGGGTTCACACATCATAAAACAACAAGGCACTCATAAGCATTTCTGTGCTATTAAAAGTGAAAATGCTTTATCTGCTCATTTCTTGCAATTTCTAACAACCTAGGAATTGCTGTTACATGTGAATTGGGTCTATTTCTTTCATTCACATAAAACACAGGCACACAACTAGATATGCACATATCTAGATAGAACACAACAATCTGTCATAACCATAATTTGAGCTTTTGGAAACTGAAACTGAAATAAAAGGTAAATAATTTTTCGAATTTGAAGCATACTGCAAATAATTAAATACAGTGTCATGCTTTACAAGTCTTACTGGAGGGAAGATGGCAGAGACCAGTTTATTTAGAATCTCTCTCTTATCAAAGACTGCAGCGTATGATTAACATGGTGCTTTATGGGTGACAGAGTAAGACTTTTGTGAGATTATATACTTTTAGGAGGAATCAGAACTGGAGCGAGAGGTTATCAGAGAGTGTAGGCTGAGATGTCATCAGTATGCTGATGACACTTAGTATTACCTTTCTTTTTCATCTGATGCAGGTGGGCCAGTGAATGTTCTGAAACAAGAGTCTGGCCTCAATAATCGATTGGATGAGGACTGAAGATTGAAACATAATCCAGACAAGACAGAGATACTGTTGGGGGGGGGCTTCATCCTGTCTTGGATGGGGTCACATTCCCCCTAAGGTTTATAGCCTGGAGGTGTTCCTGGACCCTGAATGATTGCTGGAATTCCAGGTGGATTCGGTGGCCAGGAGCACTGTCTATCAGCTAAGGCTGGTATATCAGCTGTGGCTTTATCTGGACAGAGGGGACCTGGCAACAGTTATCCAAGCACTGGTAACCTCTTGCCTAAATTGTTGCAATTCACTTTACATGGGGCTTCCTTTGAAGAGGTCTGGAAACTTCAACTGGTTCAGAATAAGGCAGAATAACCTTCTACTAACATTAGGCCTTGAAGCCCTAAACAGCTTGGAGCTAGGGTATCTAAAGGAGAGCCTCTTTCCATATGAACTTACCTGGACCCTTTGATCTGCATCTGAGGCCCTTCTGAGGGAGCCCTTCCTCGGGAAATATGGAGGTAAGGATAAGGAGGAGGGCCTTTTCAGGAAGGGTACCCTGACTCTGGAATAAGCTTCCCAGAGAGGTTTGCCTAGCACCCTCTTTATGCTCCTTTTGAAACCTGAGAAAAAACTTTATATTTTGCTGGCATTTTGTATCTGTTTTTAATGGTATTTTAATAGAATGTATTAACAGTATGCCGTTTATGAAAGTATTGGTTCTGTTACGATGAAGTAGGGTGTGCTTTTATTTAGCTTATTGTTTTAATGTTCTTTCATTATTGTGATTTTATATGGTTTTTATATTGTTTTATTGTTGTAACCTGCACAGGGAGCCATGGCTAATAGGGTGGGCTAATAAATAATTAAATAACTGAAATTATGAACATATACATTCATGACTTAAGATGGGTATCAGCACACCTCACAGATACCATGGAAAATGTATGTTTCAGACTGGTTTCAAAGTTTTGCCAAATGTGCGTAGTCTCTGAAGACAAATGTGCAAGACCCTTTTGTAGCATGTAATAGTTTACCATTCATCATTCTCCAAAATGGATTCACATAAACAGAGACACCTATATCAAGATATCCGACAATGCACTGTACCTTAGCCACTTGTGCCACTGCACTGGCACCCAGAGCAGCATTTGCAATATCTTCAAGTTTACTTCTTGAAATGGCAGAAATAAAATTTAAATAATAAGACTCATAAAGTTGACTTCTAAGGTCCTGGAAGAAAAAAAAGGTATTAAAAGGCTAGAATTTTTGACTTACAAGAATCATTTAAAATCTATAGGATGTCTGGTCCTACACACACTCAAGTATTTCCCCTCCACGTCAGTAATCTCCTTGCTAATACATCCAAATTAGTAAAGAACTGAGGATGAGTACTGTAAACTGTTTTCAACAGCCTCAATCAGACATTACTGCAGTCAGGAGATGGTTAACTTCATCACACTGTAGTACTATTTCTGGCCAAGTGCTCTGTTTATACACAAGATGCTGTTAATTATACAGTCTCTATTCCAGTAATAAAGGATACATAAGGGCAACACAGTGTGCTAGATACTGATACTGTCTTGCAGCAAAAGCAAACATTAGGGAAGACACAGTGCTAGAACACTCAGTGAGGATAGTCCTCTAGTAGCATGAGTCTGTCATTTATGGGTGCCTTGCACTGAACACATTGTTAGGGAACCATCCCAGAACCCTGGATGTTGAGCTGGCTTATTCCAGGGTGCAAAGTCCTCACATCCTTGTTTGTAAGTATGGCTTGAGACAAGAATGAGTTACTGTATGTTCCTCAAAAGCAGTACTTTTGACTGGCAAGAATGCACACCTATCTCAAAGGGAACAGCTTGTGTTTATGGAGTTCAGTCATAAGGTATAACTCAAGGTTTATTTTGATGTATAAAGTTGGCTGCTTAATTTTTACCTATTTTAAAGCAAAAGAAAATTAATGCAATACACCATTTCATAATTTAGCTTCACAAAGTTTCCTCTGACCCCCGTAAGGTTTTCTGGAGGTCTCATTTTGGTGGATTTTGGAGAGGTTGTTCAGCATTTTTTCTTGTTTGCATTCTCTAGTACAAGAAACCTTATCATTGCAATTTACCCTAGGTCTTAAAGTCTAGGTTATATCACAACTTGTTACAATTGAATCTGAGAGCTGAAATACAGGATCTGTAACATCATATAACCTGTGCACTAAATTGCCATTACTAACAGTCAGTGAAAACCGATCACTTGCAATCTTCGTTAGTTTCCATAAAACTGTTCATTGGCAATTATATTAACAAATGATCAACACATGCATTAATAGAAGTATTGTTTCCAAGACATGAGAAATACCAGTTCCCCTCTATTCATCACTGGGTTATCTTGAGTACTGAGTCCAGTTCTGGGTACCACAGTTGAGGAAAGATGCAGACAAATGGGAAAAGGTTCAGAGGAGGGCAACAAGAATGACCAGGGCACTGAAAAATAATCCCTGTGAGGAGCGACTGAAAGAACTGGACGTGTTTAGCTTTGTAAAAAGGGAAGATAAATAACTACTTAAAAAGTTGTCACAGAGACGAGGGCTGGGATCTCTTCTTGATCATCCAGAGGAGCCGCTGGACACAGAATTATGGGCTCAAGTTACAGGAAGCCTGATTCTAGCTAAATATTGGGGAAAAAACCCCTGACTGTTTAAGCAATATGACAATGGAATTAGTTACCTAGGCAGGTCATGAGCTCTCCCACACTGGAGGCATTCAAGATGGAGCTTGTCAGCCATCCATTAGGGATGCTGTAACTTGGAACATTGAGCTGGAGGTTTCATCTAATGGCCTTCCAGCTCTACTATTCTATGATTCTGTGATTAGCTTGTATGAATTCTCATGTGATTAAATGTAATCCATGCAATTGGATCATCCATAATTCCATGAAAAGCAACTGATTAACTTTCAAAACCTTGGATAAAAATGTTGCATACATTAGATACACCACTTATATACATCTATACAGATCACTCCAAGGGGAATCTCTTGATTATAAAATGTAAAATCAAACAGCTTCAAAAGATTAATCAATTTAAGAACTTTGTACCAATCACTAAGCCTGGCCAGCTTGCTTTATCTAAGTGGGAAAGCATATGGTTATAATATTTTGTTTGTTATTTTCACAGATTGTAGCAACAGTAAAGAGTTACTTGGTTTGCATGTTCACCATAGCTTACTGGGGTTTAAATAAGACATGGTGGGTTGCAGTGTGTGCTGGTGGCTTGAATATTCAACCCTCAGTGGCAGGTTGCCATAGTTATGTAAACCCAGGTAACAGGGGTTATCTGAGAGTTAAACACCTCTCAAATAATATATAATCTATTGTAGGGTTATATGAGGATGGTTTAACCCTTAAATAAACCCTGCCACCTGTATTCACATCATGCGACAAATGATGGTAACCCACCACCTGGGGGTTGAGTATTTAATGAATACAGGATGGTAGATAGTGGTGAGTGTGCAAACCAGCCCAATTTCTTATTACAAAGACCATTTTGTTTCCCTCTACTCCAAAACATCACTGTGGAACAGTGCTGAGAGTGCTTTCTACAGAGCTGGTAAAAAACATAACGCACTATCTGAACTTCACAGCTCTGGAAAAAATTGCTGCTGCTGTGCAGGTATATGCTGCTATCTGGGAGGTCAGCATTCATGTAGGTACAGGCCAAGAAACACCATTAACTGGCAGTCAAATACATCCACTTTGGAATTACTATATGAACTTTTACACCAGACACAAGGCAAGTTAAACTACCTGGCAGATCCTGTCAATATTTTCCTCTGTTGGCATTACGAAGTATATTGCTGGGACATCTGGAATAGCGTCTCGATCGGAGTGTAGAAGACTGGAAATAAAAGAACAAACTTTGTTTAGCAGCAGTTTTATTCTCATCCCAAAACAAATGAAAAATGCCTCAAAGAATACAGACTTTGCTTGCATCCTATGAACAACTTCTTGGGGCTAAGCCTCTCTGAGCTTGTTTCCAAGTAGTCACTAACAGAATGTAGGTGTAAGGAATCTTGTAAATCATTTACTGATGTAGATGAAATGCTGGTTCTTTGATGATCACCATTTAACTGGAAGCAATCCTCAGGAAGATGTACTTCCTCTCTGAAGCATTCTGTTCCCCCTCCTTCCCCTTAAACCATAACTACACAGAGGCTTCATTGTAGAACTGGACATACTATCCTATGACTTTAAGTATATATTTGGCATAAATATAATTTATACTTCTCAAATTTTCTCATAGGCTAGTATCAAATGTTAGTCCTCCACAGAGTTTTTTCTATGAAAGTTGTGAGAGTGTGCAGGAGATACAAATCACAGATCTCACCATCTGAGATTAGATGTCAGACAAGATTAGATTCTGTCTTGGATCTAAGAAATATCCCATGGTTCTTCAGATGATGTCTAGGGGCCATAGCACTGTTCCCTTAGTGTTATATACAACTGCAAACTATTTTCAGACTTGTTTTTAAATGTGCAATCAATGTCATTTTTTCTTTTCTTTTTCTCTTCTCTTTTTGGTGCCAGGTAAAGACCTTTTAAGTTACCCATCATTTTAATAATTAAATTAATAATTTAATAAAAAATAGTAACATTTTATATAGTTGAATTTTCTTTTTCTTTCTTCTTCTCTTTATCTTTTAGTTTTTAATTATTGTTATTATTGAATGTTTTGATTTAATTTCATATTATTATTTAATCTTTTGTAAAGCCATCCGGGATAAAAATATTATAAATAAATAAATGTCATGGGTCTAAACTCATAATGCTTTATGCAGACATTGGCTTAAGTATGACAATCCTTTCAAATTTGCTCATTACAGGAGAAGATTAAGCTCTGAGAATAACCAGCATAGTTTCTCCACACTGCTCAGACAGCTGTCTAGTGACTTGGGTGAACCATTGTAATCATATTCTTACAGTATCAAGCTGCACAAATGTTTCCAAACATATAAAGTAACACAAACATATTATTATTGTTGTTCAGTCACAAAGTCTGCCTGACTCTTCATGACCCCATGGACAACATTCCTCCAGATTCTCCTGTCTTCCACCATCCCCCGGAGTACATCCACCCCCACTCCCACATCTCCAGTGACCCCATCCAACCACCTCAACCTCTGCTGTCCCCTTCTCCATTTGCCACAAACATGCCACAAAATACATACAGATGCAGAGTAATGCCCATGTCTCTCAATTCTTTCACTGATAGCAGTGGAGATATTATATCTTGGCCAAATCTGTCATAGATGAGAACCTGCAACGCAACACATACACACAAAATGTATTAACATATGTACAGGGCTACTAGAAACCCTTGCACTATGTTTCTACAAAAGACTGCATTGTGTAATCAACATTCCTTTTTAGTAGGCTTGAACAGAGGTTGTGCAGCAGCTTTCTGGCTTTGAGTTCTGTTGTTATAAAAACAAATGGCCTTCCAGATCTGAAGCAGACAAAATTATGTTCTGATATGCTTTTAATTATTTCACTTTCCAAAATACAAGGCAGTCTCTCATAGAGAACAGAGATAGAGACAGTAAGAAAATGGAGCCAATTACAAGAAAAGGAACATGCATTATAGTGACTAAAAAGGTTCTGGAGTACAATTCCAGGAGTACTTCTGCATACAGTTTTTCTCAGACCATTACAAGACCACAATTTCCTCTAATAATCCCTCATCACAATTTCAAGTCACTTTTAATACTCTGCCAATAAGCATTTCCCCCCACTCTTGATATCTTTACTTCCCCAGCTAGAAGCTAGTGGTTTTGTTCCACAGAGCTCTTCATTTTAATTTTTTCATCAGAAGTAACTGATCAACATACTACCTTGTGCTATATGGCAAGAAAGGTCATTCTGAAACTACAAATTAACATGGACATAAAATAGATGTATAGTTTGACTTACTTTCCAGACTGGTTCACCTGTACTGTTTTTAACTGGTGGTACATTAAAATTCAACATACGCTTCAGAGCCACTAGAAATAAGAGAAAAGAGTTCAATTATTGCAGGAAGCCTGTGGACTGGTAGAAATCTCTTGCTTAATTTCTGGTATCATCACTATTTGTGTAAGCAAAGCAACTGAAACTCAGGAGGACGATTCATTCTATGTACAAAGCCTTGATTACAATGTTCTTAAAGCCTCAAAGGACTCCCAGTTGCAAAGACAACCTTAGCTACTGCCTTAAACAGTAACAGCATTAGGTAAATTATTTCAATATTAAATTAATTGAGGGAAAACCATGAACCAAAGATTAAACCTCTTAAACATACCACACATTATATTAAATAGCTAGGCTTTCTTGTGCTTTAAAACATTATACTTATGATCACATTTCATGTCATCATTAAAACTGATTTGTACGAACAGGTTTCTTTTATTTAACACATAAAGGGAGAAACAACCACAACCTGAACATGTTATTTATCTTCTCATGAGTTCTTACAGAGATGTAGGTATATGGAAAAATTGGGGAAGACAATTTTTTCTGCCTTCATTTCATTTGGAACATTCTTAAAAAATATCTTTGGAAATCAAATGGGCTGGATAACTTATAAAATTTGCTTCCTTATCAGACAACTGGTAATTAATTTAACACCAACAATTTAAAGAGGAAAAGAAGGGGAGGAGTCAGGAAATCACAAATGTCCTCAGATGTCATAGGACAACGCATGTCCTCAGAAACACAGATGGTTCCAATGAAATGATAGAAGCCATTATTAAATCAGAAATTAAACATACAGAAAAACAACACTTGCTAAAGAAATACCAGCATGAATTTTGCAAATTGTTTGACACTCTCAAAGAATTCTTTAAGCATGCAAACAAATGCATAGCTAGGAGCTCTGTTTGGCCGTTTACTCCATTTGATTGAAATATGGAGGATGGGACTATTATTTGACTGTAACATGGAGGATTGTCCCTCCTGCACTGTTCACACACTGAAGGGAATATCTGGAAAGATAAGTCTGCTATGCATGCATAGGTCCTCGTGACTGAAAACCCTTATCACACAAGGTTCCAAATTACAGGGGGAAATTATGCATGAACAACAACCCCCCACTCTCATCCACATTTATATATTTATTTATTTATTCAATTTATAGTCTGCCTTTTTCCTACAAAGGGCTCAAGGCAGCTTACATCATTCTCCTCCTCCAACTTATCCCCACAACAACAACCCTGTGAGGTAGGCTGGGCTGAGAGTCTGTGACTGGCCCAAAGTCACCCAGTTGGCTCCATGGCTGAGCAGGGACTAGAACCCAGATGGTCTGAGTTCCAGTCCCATGCTCTTAACCACTACACCACACTGGCTCTCCAGTGAAAGGAATGTGCACATAAGCCTGGAACACTTATAACATATTATATACTTAAGGTGCTTCCTGACAAGGATTTTATTATTTTATCTTTCATGCAGGGATCCAGACATCCTCATGTTTTGTTTGCTTTCCCACAGCTCCGATCTTTAAACACACACACACAAATACACCAAATCTGTAAAAGACAGAATAGCTACACAATGTTTTTTGACTGCTAGCAATAGAAGACCTCCAACTAGAAGCACTCATGGACTTTCGAAATGATTTTGACAAAGACTTCACCAAAGGCTTCTGAACAGACTTGGTACTCTCATGGTACCTATTTTTCTAAGGGTATGAAGGAACTAAATTTTCCCAATGTAAAGCATAAGGATCTGCATTGCAACAACTGCTATTTAACTTAATCACAAATGTTCTATAGTGAAAGATGCTCATTGAGGTAGCTGAGTTTGCAGAGGATTCCAAGGTATGCAGATGCTGAAGATATGAGCAGAAGAAACACTCCAAATGGAATGAAGACAAACAAAATGGCAAAGGAAATTTAAAGTTAGTAAAAAATGACATACATTGGTACAAAAGCTATAAACCTATACACTAATTCCTCTGCACTGATGATGACTTTCCTGTGACATAACTAAGGCAGAACAGTAATAAACATGGAAGGGGGATAGTGGGGTGGGGAGTGCTGATTCATGAGTTTTACTCCTAAATGAAAGCTCTGACAAATCCATATTTGCCATAGTCATTATGTGAAAATTTTATACAGTATGTGTTACTGGGTTTTTTTAAAATCATATCCTATGTCCTGATAAACTTTGTCCTTGCTTGCAATTCTTCTGGAACAGAATACTGAATTGTGTAAGCATGTAGCATACTACAGGTTACATAAAATGAGCAAATCTGCTGCCAACCATTAGTGCAAAGAGTGTGCTTCAACCAGGAGAGCAAATGCCTCCAAACTTTAATGAAAGCAGCAGTGATTGGTACCATAAGTTCCTTAAATATAGATTGAAAAGAAACACTTTCACTGAGGTAGGCCATATGCCAAGGGGCTGTGCAACTTGTAGCCTTCCAGATAGTTGATGAACAACTCCTACCTGCCTTTACCAGCACAAAACAGCAAGAGCTGTAGCTATTGGACTAAAAGATCCGGAGGGCCATAAATTGCCCACCCCGACCTTACATTTTCCATTTATGACAGAGTGCTTCCAGATGACTTTTATCATGCCATACACTCATCTTATTTGCTGAACTTTATGAGAACTCCAGATAGGAAAACAGAGGTGCAAGTGACACTATTACTATACAGCTGCAGAAAATTTGTTAAGGGTGTGAGACAGAATAGCTGTGCAATGCCTTCTAGCTGATAGTGTTAGGAGCTCTATCTGGAAGCACCCATCGTGTTGCCAAAGACCACACAGAGCATTTCTCGTACAGCATTTATTTTTCGCTTGTCAAACACCACTTCCCAATCTGCTGAACATAAACAGGCCAATGATGCATCTAGTCAATTTTAACAATTTACAAGCCATGGCAATGATATACATTTAAGTGTTCTTTCCTACTTGGGAAAATATTCTGTGTATTACATCTCTCCAGGTCTGTTGATGTGAAATTGTGACACAGCAATCTCCTTTCTGACTCTGGGTGTGCTTTGTTTTGCACCAACATAGCTCTCAGTCCAAAATTCGTGGTAGAAGCTTCAGAGCATTATTCTCTGGCCCCCTCACAAAAAACATCGAAAAAAGAAATACAAGAATGCTCAAAAGAGCAGGTAGAGAATGAGCATCGATACATAAAACCGAGTACGCCTCCCTGGTGCCACAGGCGAGGGCCTCATCAGCGAAGAGTCCGCTCCCTCACAGCTGGGTCAGCGGGCCAGGAGAAGAAAACCGTCTTCTCACAGCCCCAACGAAGGGGAGCTGAGATGGGAGCACAGGTAAGGCAGGGTCAGGCGCAGAAAGGAGCAGGCCACGCAGCCCTGTACCTTCTCACGGCGCCCAGACAGGCCCTGCCAACTTCCCCCTAGGCAGCTCCGGCCGAGGGACAGCTCAGGAATGAGGCCAGCGCCCGCGACACCCCGCGACTGAGAGGAAAAGGGGGCCACACTCACCCGTCTGCTTCTCCCGGATGCTGGCCGCCATCTTTGCCTGCCGCACAGGCCAGCTCCGCCCCCTTCACCGCCGCACCATCACCGCCGGCAGACGTGGCGCCCCGGCGGGCCGCGGCTTTCGCTTCGGCGAGCGGGAGGCGGCGCGGCAGGAGGAGCCTCATCTCCTCATCGCCGGCGCGACTTGCGCCACGCTGCGGAGCTGGGGTTCTTGTTTTGCTTAGGGAAGCAAAGAAGAGCGAGGAAAGAGCTGGCGGGCGGAAGGTGCGGTGTCTCCTCTGCTTCCCAAGAAGCAGGGAATGAATGGATCGGGACCCGTAGGTTTCTCCCAGGGCTAGCCTGGGGAAGCGAAATGGAGCTGATACAAGACCTCTCGACCGCCGATTCATTGCGTTGGACTGATTTGCGTATAGCCAATGCCATCGAGGTGACCCACTGGGAAATCACATAAGACAGGCACACGATGCAGGAATAAGCTTTGATTCTCTATTATTGATTCTCGGTTCCTGCCCTGGTAATTCAGTATTTACACACCCACGTGCATTCAAAGGACGGGGGTTGGCTGACGGAGGGGAAATTATCTTTTATCGCTGGCTGATACATGCTCCAGGTTTCCTCTTTCAGGGTATGTATTTCGTAACACCTGTCTTATACTTGGGAAATTAAAATAGTTCTTAAAATGTGTGTACGGATTTTATTATAACTTAAGAATACCGTGTTGGTCTGTTTTCCTTTTCTTGCACTAGAGGCATTTTCCTCTTCTGTTTTACTGACTTCTGCACCACAGAATTTCTTAAATGGCAGCAGAGGCAATGGCGTGGGAAGATGGGGGTTGCAGTTCTACATCGGGACAGCTACTGTTGCAGAGGAATAGTTCTGTGCTGGAGAATTCCTTGAGACAGGAGGAAAAAAATGGCCCTCCAGATGCTGTCGTGCTAAAACTACCATCTTTGACCATTGGCCATGATGGCTGGGGCTGTTATTATCTAGAGTTGAGCCACATGAAGAGGGCTCCAGGTTCCCTACACCTGTCTTAAGGTCTAACTTATTTATTGCAAGTAATTCATAGAATCAAAAAATAGTAGAGTTGGAACGGGCCATGAAGTAGGACACAGCATAAGGCTGCAAGTTCCTATTTGCATCTCAAGCATATCTATGGTAATTTGAGATAAAGTCCAGCTCCACCCATTTCTGAATGGCAAGTGTGGGTCTCAAGCCATTCCTAAACATTACTTCAGAAGTTTCCACAGAAGGCTGCCTGTAATGCAGTCAGAAGTTGATTTGTCAGCCACTTTTAAGGATCAAACCATTTGGAGAGGGTCATAAGGTGGATTTTTACACAATTTCAAGCATGTGGAGCCACATTAAGGAAATTTACAATATTTATAGATGATCCTTGATCCTGCTAGACTTCAGGATAGTTCACAGTATAAAAAATGCTGTATTTCAACATTGCCACAGTAAAAGTAGCTAATGGAATACTAACATCTCAATCCTCTATTCCTGAGTAAATCCTGAGTTCGAAAGGGTTTGTTTCCTGTTGAATTTAAGACCATAGCCAAAATCAGTTGGGCGAATAAGTGTTTTTCTTGACATTTAAAAAAACAGCATGGGTACCTCGAAGGTATTCCACAGCTGGGGGAACCACGGTAAAACAGCTGTCATGTGTTGCAAACTGCCTAGAAAGCTTTGACTACTGTTTGATATAATAAAAGAAATATTAAAGGCTCCCCTCTACTACCCCTGTTCATGTATCTCTTTTGGAGCACTTAGAAGTTGCAGATATTTTACTGCTCTGGGATCTCATGCCCAGAGGCCCAATTCAGCCCTGCTTGAGTTCCTCAGATGGTTTCAACCCCTCCCCAAAACTGTTTGGTTTTCTGGCTGTATTTCTTCCCATTCTAAAAGGCTGAAATGCCTCTTCTAAGACACAGAAGAAGCTGTAAGAGCTTTTAGCTAAGGTATGCTGATATACTTGGCCTTACCACTTTTTGGCTCCAAAAACATTGAGATGGAATGTGGCTCTTGGGCCGAGAAAGGCCTCCTAGTCCTGCCCTAGATCATGATTTCCTCTACCTTGCTGACAGCCATTACCTTCATTCTATACTTTGACAGAGATCAGCCTGGCTATTAGAATGGTGAAAAATGCTATTAATGTAATTCATATAGTCTACATGACTTCTTACACTCAAGCAATTCAGTTTTGAAACTTTCTACTGTTTTTGATATATAGACATCTCACTGATTTCAGTGAGTCTATTTTATGTATGACTGACCTTGGTTCCCACCCATTAGTAGTTGTGTGAACCTGTCTATAATTTTCTCTATACTCAATGCTAATTTAGGGCATATATCAAATTCAGAGGATTAGAGACATCCTATGCAGGGCAGGAGTGTGGAGGCAAAGATTTCCCCTGTATTATCCACCTTGCAAAATAATTGAGATGATACCTGTTGGAAGTGTCATGCTTTGAAGCAGGAGGGAAGCAGCCTGGGGTACAGCCTGGACTACAGTCAATTCCCATTGCTTGTAATCTCAAAACTGCATCCAGTGTGTTTGTGTGTGTGTGTGGATTGACAGTGAGTGCTGTGAGCTCAGACTCAATTGTAAGGATGAAGCGTTTTTCTGACTTCATAACTAGGTCTCCAAAGAAAATCCTTTAGCCACCTAGATATTGTCTAGTGGCCAGAAGATATGTGCTCTTAAAGTTGCACATCTAGTTTAAAGGATTTTTATATAATTTCTTGAATCGGTATTGTATAAAATGGTTATGTTTTTCTACATTTGAAATAAAACAATATTCTTCTGGAGTTCAAGCTATGAAATACCAATTTTATTTAAATAAGCAAGCTAGATAAATGATCCATGTGTAAGATACCTTTATTGTAAGATGACCCCTATCTGTTAAAGTGTTTTAGGTAAAATGATGCTCATATTACACCGTAACTCACTTTACTCAGTACATTCTTCAAATAAACAACACTAACTTACAGTTTAATTATATATATTTAATACTGTTAACTAATCCTTGATTTATTGCACTTTATGCATACACACAAACACAAATATACACATATGCACAAACATTCATGACAGTTCTCCCATAATATATTGCTACAAGTAACATAACAGCAAACAGTAGGCACTAGAAGCTACAACAAGCTTCAGGAAATAAAAGGCGCCAGTTTTAATACAAAAACTTGAAATATTTACAAACATGTAACTATACATACAAAATTTTTATTACACACTGTTATATAATGCTAAAGACTCATTTCTCCCACCAAGAGAAATTTGTTTTTAATATTAGTTTTTTGCTTTCTGATAATCCAAGTGGTTACTTGTATCAGAACAGAAATCATTGAATTTTTGAATGCTTTAATAAAAGCATCCAATTAAGTGTCCCTCAAGTACCTGAGCTGCCATAAAGAATACTGTTGCCCTGAATTGACACATACATGCAAGCCCCATTAATCTGTAGCTTTTCCTATTTTCTTTAGCACAATCAGTAGATGTAATACTGTACAGTCTAGTAAGGAATTACAAATTCAAGTAATCACAATTCGAACTTACAACACTCAAATTTTGTGCATATATGCTTTAAGATTGAGATGATTTAATAGTAGTATTTTTAATTTCAATGGTCCAACCCAACAAAGTACTATGCAATCCTTACAGGTCATAGAATCAGACGGCAAGACACAAAAGATGGGATACCAAGATAAAAACCCAGCTACACCAATGACACAAAACTGCCACCAACATTTCTGCAGTGGTGGCTGCCTTTGTTGAATCACTAAGTTTTACATGAGCAGGTATAACAGGTGAGATGGATGAGGCACTCTCATATTTCATTGGGTAATCCTCTATAATACTCTATAATACTCTATTTTATAACAGGAAACTTGGAGATGTTCAACAACCAACTCTTATCCCCTTTTCAGTTATCTGATCACGGACATAGGATTATGGAACAAACACTGCTTTTTGTGCTGCCTTAATAAAGCAAATAGATAGCATATGGTTACCCACAGTTGAGCAGAATTTGACAGTAATGATTTATAATGTTTTCCACTGGTGCCAGCAAGGAATGAGCTGAAAACCATGGCCAGGCCACAGAAAAACCTTGCCCAAGACCTTGTGTTTCTCAGACAGCTGCTATGTAGCAAATAAATTTTCAAAAGCAGATTGTGTTAAGACATGGGGATTTGCTATTAAAAGAGTAAAACTTGCTTTTTGTCATGCCTAAATTAGCTCTTTGTATCACAGCCAAAGTTTTTGTTATAATGTGTAACTACTCAATATTTTAAGACATGACAGCTCAAGTAGAAGGCATTTTTCTTAACACACCAAGCTGACTTGATAGTAGAAACAAAGACCACAGTTAAAATTAACAAACCTTATGGCACCATCTATGTTTACATACTGTAAGACATCTCAAACTATTTGTAAAACTCTGTATTTTCAGTATCTTTTTTGGAAGTATTTGGATTGTTAAGCTATTTTCACAGCACACTGTACCATATCAACCACAGGAAAAAATAAAGTATTATATGAATGCCAAGATTTTTAAAAATCAGCTTGTATAATTTTTGGTATACATATTCTGAAAGTGAAAATTTGCAATTAGAATATCAATTGCACTGAAACTAATATTGTTACAGCACAGATTTTTTGAGTACAGCTGCCACAATCCCTCATCAATGGCCATAATTGGGTGGGGTTTATGGGAATTGTAGCCTAATGCATCTTAATAGGTTGTCTAGTACTCTAATTCCAAAAAATAAAAAGACAAAAAATGAAAGCAGTCATAACTCTTCTTTAAAGGCAACTAAGGAATAATTCAAGAAGCCTATAATTACCATGAAACATGGGAAGGTTATCTGATATATGGGATTAACTGTTCCACAATAGTTAGTGCTGTGTAAAAAAGAATCTAGCCATACAAGACTCTAGCAGTTACAGATCATCAGTGAGCATCAGTCTCCGCGATTTGGATAAAACATAGAATAAGAGAGGCTTGCAAAGAAAAGCCTAGAGTATAAGTTAATATTTTCATAAGTTTAAAGGAACCTGAAGTATTTTCTCCTATTTTTGGTTTGGTAGCCAGAAAATTTTGTGATTGGCAGAACTGCTCATCTTCCAGTTGGAGACAGAACTTTTATCTACTGAGCAATACTGAGCTTGGGGAGGTGCAGTAAGGAACTTAGGAGCACTGCATTACTGTGAGAACTGTTCCCCAGCTCTCTCTCCAGCTTTCAGTAGAGGACCAGGACATGATTGCGTCCTGTTGCACTTAAAATACTTGCAGCAGTGTCAAAGCAGAATACAGCTAGAAATGTAAAGGCATAGAAAACACACCAATGCACACACACATTCCAGATATTTCAATATTTCCAATGGAAAATTAAGCAATATAGGAGAAAATAAACCCTCTATCATTTTCTTTTACAATTAATGAAAAGCTATTTAATGCCGGTTTTAGTTAAACTAGTATGAAGATTTCAACATGCAACCATGTACAGCAGCAGAGAATTTTAATTCCTGTATATGTACTGTAGACATACACAATACTAAAATCAAAGTGCATTTCTACACCAGAAGATGTTGAATTAGAGGGGAATACAATGCCATTCTAGCTCTATCAGGCTTATCCTTCAGCTGTCACCGTGCAGCAGGCATTCCACCAGGTTGCAGCAAGAGCTTTCTGGTTAAAGTGTGAATAAAAATGCTTTAAATACATTTTAAAAATTACTTGTAGAATTGTTGCTTGCTTTCTTTCTGGTCACCTCTAACCTAACTTGGAGATACTAGAAGCCTGTTCTTGCTGTTTTTTCATGAAGTTATAAAACCTGCTGATTTATGTGTCAGAAAAACCCATTTACTACTGTGAATAACTGTTTTAAAAGAGCCTTTTACTTAAGACAGCAGTTAACACTCTATGCTTCTATAAAATGGGAAATGCACTTTTTTCCTGAGTACCTAGACTCAGGGAAAGGGTGAAAAAGTTGAGGTCACTGAAAACTGTCAAAAGTAGATGATGTTCCTTTTGCAAGCAAAGATTTTTTGTGGCCTTGTTTTTCACTTCATAGCTCAGCATTTGACAGCTGTCAAATTATAAGAAAAGTATTAAAATAACCAGCCTTTCTTAGTCAATGTCAGGGTTGGTAGTTACTGCTCTTTGACAACAGATACTTACCATGACACTGAGCAGACTAGACTTTTAATTTCATTCACTTGTAAGTGTGCACTAGCATTATTCCTGGTGAAAACCAAAACCACCCCTCCACAAAAACATTTGTACACATTTAGAGCACCTAACAAGATATATATTTTAAAAGACAGTGAACCACTGATGGCTGCTCCAATGTGCTGTTTAGGCAGTTTGAAGGTGCTCTCATTGGCTGAGATGGTGAAAAGATGGTGAAGGGGAAAACAGCTGTGACAGTGACCAAATAGGGGTTGTGAGTGAAGTGGGGAGACCAAGCCAGTAACTGTTTCTCCAAAGTGCCACCTGTGCATTGCTGCAGTTGGTGTCACAGGTGGTGGCCTGGGCGAGCCCAAAAAGAGGTTTTGCTATTCTTGTTGAATAGCTTGCTCACTGCTTCCCTAAACTTACAATAGGGTCTGTCACCTGGGATCAGATGTCATGAGAACTCACCACAGCTCCAGGAAGCCCTAGATCAAGCCATGAACTGTCAAAATGCCTTCATACCTCAAAATAAACCACCCTGTGGGAAGCAAGTTCACATAATGGCTTAACCTACCCATGAGTGGTTCTGTGAACCCAGTCTATGAGTGCTTACTTAGGAGTAAGTTGCACTAAACAGATTATGTTTTACTTCTGAGTAAACATGCAAAGGATTGCTTTGTAGATTTCAATAAATATGCTGAGTTATGATTAATCATAAGCTCTTAAAGCAGCAAGACAAGTTAAGGTTTGTTTTTTTGTTTTTAGACTATTGCATATACTTCAGTTTTCCTCCAAATGCTGTTTCCCTTGTGGGGGAATGTTTTCCCCTTCACAACTTCAAATCTTTTGGTAAAGTTACATCTCCAAATGCAACAAAGACTAGCCCAAGATTTTATCTTAAGTTTTTGTGGGCACAACTCCTCACATATCACTCTGTGCCCTGTAAATATTCACAGTTTAGGACAGAAATGCATGGACACGCTCCATACATACACATGGCAGGCAAATGACTGTGTTCAGTAGAGTGCAGTCATATTCTGTGGTTGCTGATGCACAACACCCAAAAGACTCTGCTAGAGGGTACTTCAACCTCTGGAAAGGAACTTTCAAGAGAAGCAAGGGTCTATTGCCAAAAGGAGAACAGAAAGTTTCCTCTACACCTACTCAAGTAGAACCAATCTGCAACTTTGGATTGTATCTAATACCTGAGATATGGTAAAAGCAGGCATATTATTCTATCACCTAATTTAAAAAGTTTAATATTCTATATGGTATTTCTACAATGTATACAACATGAAGGAAATTTAAAAGCATTGAGTTTCTAAAATATACAAAGTTGGTGCAAACATGGTGCCAATTAATCTCTGTCCACTTCCAGCTTTAAGCTGAACTAGAGTATTTTTTTCAGAACAGGTAAACCAGAATATGACCTCTAAAACTTATTTACAATTGCCACATATTTGGACTGGAACCAAGACACAGTTTTAATTAGCACATTTGACTTTGCTTGTATCTTCTCTGAGCTACACATTCTTTTGTACGATGGTACTTTTTTCCCAAAGCTTATTCAGTACCGTTAGAATTTCAAAAGCAAAAGGTCTGGAATGGTTACAGAACGGAGGCAACGGAAACATAACCATAGAATAGCCAGGATATCACACCATCACTATGGAGTAGCTGGGATATCAGACCAAGCATAAAGTTCTGTCACCTTTAAAAATATAATTGACAAAAATGAGGTAATGCATTTAGTTTCCTTACTCCTTGTTCACAAGTAAGAGCTAGAATATTTACTTGAAATGTATTTAGTATGTAAAATGCTAACTTCTGTCATTTCAGTGCACCCTATCAGCAAGCCAACAGGTCAAAACTTAACGCAAAAATATAATTTCCTGGATACTTGGTGTTGTGCTAGTGGAAATGAAGTTCCCAACTATGTGCAGCGGAAGAATCCAACTCAAGTCTGCTGGCAGATCTTAGGCTTACTAGCACCTGTGCAATAGGAAAAGGCAGCATAACTGCTAGTACGGCTATTTCTTCTGAGAACAATAGCTTGGATTTAGCCCCTTACAAACAAATTAGAAAGGATTCCTGGACTTATTTGCCAGAAAATGTGAATCACAATTGTTTAATTTACTAATTACTTGCTGGCATATTTTATAGCATACGGCTAAGAATAAGATTAAGGCCAAGTGTTTTTAAAAAATACAAATAATGCCAAGCTGTTTTAAAAGGTTTGTTCACCATTTTGAAACACAATTCAAAATGCAAAGACTGAAATTAAGCAATTTCCACAATCAAATTGTAAGCCTATGAGGATGAATGCATGTGTTATCCCACAGCAGCTGGCAAGCTTCTTATGTGCGTCATCATTTAATTTTCCATGTCCATTGTAGTGATTAATGTACTTCTGATTCTAATCTTAGAGTACTTTTGATGGTGAAATCCAGAATTGTTTTAAACTTCTCATAAGAATTTGATATTGGAAGCTCTAAGCAGTTAAGGTGTCTCTTTCTGTTGGGATATTTTATGTGTAGAAACTTAACTGAAGGCTCAGGATCAAAACCAATAGGTGGAATATTGCGGATGCCAGTTGCAAACACTAAGATGTCCTCCAGAGTTACAGCTGATTCACCACCTGGACCAAGAAATATGAAGAGTTTTGATAGCTGCAAAGAGCTTTTACATGAGATTCCACATTATTTAGGAGGGTAAAGATGAGTCACAGTAATGATAGAAAAACTACTAATAAATAATACTAATAAAAACTACTAAGTAAATAATTATTTTCAATGTAAAGTTAACTAAAAACATGCAAAAAAAAAAAAAAGCATTCACATATTCCAAATAGGTTACTTACCACCCGTCTCCTGTAAGTAACCCATCCAGAAATCAACTCTTCTAGCTTTGTCTGCTCCTGGTAAACAGTGGACTGTAAACAGATCACCAAGAAGCTTTGCTGAAAGTTTCTCTGGCTTCTGACATAATATGCTAGAAAATGCATCAGGATTCATCTGCATTTTTTCCAAAACACCAAGGGTTTTCAAACCTTGCCTAAAGCTGGGGAAAAGATGTATAGAAACCAAGAAAGCATTATAGGTTATTTCTTTCATAGTAAATAAAATGGACTTTCCTCATTGATATACCAAATTAATGTGTCAAATCATAAGTACTTCTTTTATTCACTAAAAGCAAGAATACTGACATATTCCTGCATTTGGATGAGCTCAAGGAGCTAGCCAGAATATCACTGAAGGAGCTAGCCAGAATATCACTGAAGGAGCTGGTACTGACTCAGGATCCTTTGAATTAAAGTTTCTCAAATTTCCTAAAAAATCTTCTGGACAGTGGTCATGACAATGAATTGAAGACAGAGTCCACTTCCTTGGGCTGCTTCTTGTGGATTGCTGGCAATGTCACAGGTGAAACTATATTTTAGGTTCTCATCCAACAACTCAGTTATTCAACACAGGTTCAAATCCTCCCTAAACATCGATAGTGGTACACTGTTCCTTTCATGCATCACTATATTTAAGGCTTATATCTTCAGTATTAATATACTTGGAGGAGAAAGAAGTGTAATGTGTCATAAATTATACATATAGAAAGTGCATGCAATTTCTATGTGAGGTGGTGAAATTGTTCCAGTCTATAAACAAAAAGGGTATATTTAATAGGTTTTAAAATGAACAAACCTTTCAAAAGGTAAAATAGTTCTTTTGATGACATGGTAATTTATTATTTCATTCACCAACATATCCTTATCACACAGAGCTGTTATTGGTTTCAAACATCCAACAGTAATGAGATAGTCAGAGGAATCAATTATTACTGATTCTAAGCTGCTCAGGGTCATTGCAGATTTTATCTAGAGAAGGGAACAAAATAGTAGTTTATTTGCTGACAAATAAATGGTCAATTTGATGTACTCTCCTACTTGTTTTGGATTTTATGGCTGATCATGTTTACATGACAAATAGATTGGTATGTATCATTTTCGATGAGAAAAATGTCAACAGTCTATTTTGTCTTAACCGTAAGATCTTAGAAACTACAGCTTACCCAAGACCCATCTCTACAAAAATGTACAGCACTTTACCTTTTCTATTGTTTGCAAAACATCTGCATCTGCCACATCTTCTACAGTTGGTTTTACATTTTCTGTGCCATAGACAAGGCAGTTAAACAAGGTTTTGGAGAAGAAACTAGGAGATGGGCCTCCATGAACCAGAGAAACAGCAATCATTTTGCCAGCTTCATAGTATAAATTATCTTTAAGAGCTGCAAGTACAAATAAAAAAGTAACTATTGTGTTTAATAGATGCAGGCAGGATGAGCCACAATGGATCTGACCAAATGACCATCTAGGTCACTATTCCATTTTGAATGTCACCAGATTCATACTGCTGGAAGCTGATTAATAGGGCATGAAGGCAAGAGTCCTCTCCCTCATTTGTCCTCAGCATCTAGGATTCAGAAGCATGCAACCTCTGAAAATGGCAGGTCTGTTTAACTATTGTGATAAATAGCCACTGAAGCACTATCTTCCATGAATTTAATTCCTTTCTCAAGCCATGTATCACATCTCATTGTAGTAAATTCCTTCATTAAATCCCTTAATTATGTAGTTATGGTATTCCAAAGGACTGCACTGGAAGTTTCTGTAGGATGTGTTTTCCAACTGTACCAATGTTACCCCTATCATCATGAAGAGCTGTTCTTAAAAGTTTGGTTGCTATTCCATCTGCTGCTTCTTTTTGTTTAATTAAAAAAAGATTGCTTGGTAGCCAGACCAGAATATATAGCACTCAGGATCCAATTTAGCAAATAGAAGTATTCTCTTTACTTCTAACAGTGGACATATGAGCTTATCTTAGAGAATATACAACTAGCAACTGCTTTAAAGACCAGTGCCAGTGTGGGGCAGTTGATAGGATTAATTTAGGGATAAAATGGAACACCACATGGGAGCTGCCCAAACTCCCTCTTCAAAGAAACAAGACTGGTCTCCCATATGTTTCAAATATATGCCATTTAGGCTTACCTTGAGAATCAAAAGATAAATTTTTTGATAAACTGCCTTCAAAGAGTGATGAGTTCTGAAGGTGAAGCATCAGTAACAGGAAAAAGTCTTCTTTTGATGAATAACAGATATCCATCTCAGTTTTATTCCTGCAGTTCACATACTTTACTTCAAGAGTATGGGCAGGATTGAAGCTCCGCTTTTGAAATCCCTTTAAGGCACTATCCCAGATGTTTTGCCTATTGATATTCAGTCTTGTAGGTTTGCTATTAATTTGTGATTGTAATTCCCTCAGAATGTTGGAGACTTCTCTTTTCTGTACTCCAAGCTGCCTATATAATTTAAAATATTTTTCTTATTAGTGAGCATCTGTTTAGATATGTATAGCAATAGTCCCAAGTCTAAGTTATAACAATCTGCCAAATAATGCATGGATACTGAAACTTTAGAATAAATCAGAATTGGAAACATAATAATTAATAAAAGGCTTGAAAACCAAAGATTTTTGTAGTAATGACTTACTTAATAATTGCTAAAAATTCACTAAACTTACATGAGGAAGTACAAGGATTCTGTTGCACTGCAATGACATTTGAGATTAGAATGAGAGGAAAGGTTGCTGATTTAAAAAAAGCTGTCTTAACTTTCTGGTACATGTAATAGCATGTTGCCCATGGAGATATCATAGTGGCTGATCCTGAGTTTGTTCCTGCTGGTGGGAGCCATCAAAGTGGATTTCCAGTCCTTGGTTATTCCCTCCAGCAAAAGGGGAGGGGCACTTTCTCAAATTGCCTTCACAGTCCTCAGGCTCCAGAAGGCTGGAGATCCCTCTAGAACAAAGGGGGAGGGCTCATGGGGGAATTGGTGAAAACTGCTTTATCCTTGGCAGGATTGTGCTCTTTATCCTGCCATTGGCAGGATTTTGCTCTGCATCTTGGTCCCAGATGTTAATTCATGATTGGAGAGATTGGCTTGGATTCTAAAAGTCACAGAACTAGTTCTATGAACTTAATGCTTCCTAGTTACCACCACTTCTAACTGTCCCCAGTGCTGAGTAACAATCTGTCCTGGAAATTGAGGGTATAAAAAGCAGCTATCTTAACCCAAACATTTTACTAGCACATGCCTAGTTCCCCTCTGCTTCTAAACTGAAATCATCCATCATAAAATATATAGGTTGAGTGCTTATTAACTTACGTTTTTCTTAGTGACAGATTCCTCACTGAAGGACTGATCAAGGGGGATGGGGATATTAATCTATTATTGGAAGAGGGAAGATCCAGTTGCGAACACTGAGTAAAATTGTTAGGGCATATCATCTTTGGAGACCTAAAAGGGGGGGAACCCACAAGAACAATTATACTTTTTATGTATGAAAATTAAGGTACCTCTCTGAATTGGTAATAGCAGGAGGATAAACAAACATGCAAGCATAAATATTTTGCTCTCCAAACATTAAAGTCAGACACATCCTCCTCCAAATGTTTCTATCTACAGCACAGAATGCACAACAAATGTATAGTTAGCAATGGCTCTTTACAAATGAGTACTTCAGGCATGAAAAATCATGCCTAGATTTTAAAACAGGCAAAATATCTGCTGAGAACCTAGAAGTTGTGTTAAAAAATGTGAACTAGAATGTAATTAAGCTCCATTGAAATTAATGGAATTTGCATAGTGACCTTAAATATTCTTGTTAAAGGCTATTTAATTAATTAGAGCATTTTAATTAGTATACAGTTCAAAGACACTTTAGGCATGGTGCAAAGGCTAGTTCTTGTCCCCCTTCACCACAACTGTAAACTGCTTCTGAAGTTCCTGACTTGGGGAGCAGCTTGTTAGATGGCACAAAGACCTGCTTCAAGGAGGCTCTGAAGCAGGTGGGACATTTGCAGTTTAGCTATTCAAAGTTTTTATTTTTCAGTTCCACTGGCTGCCTATTGAAGTCTGGGCCCAAAGTGCTGATGCTAAGGTATAAAGCCCAAAATGGCTTTGGGCCAGGCTATCTGAAGGAAGATCTTCTATGGAGGTCGTTCTCCGAGAACCATGTCCTAAAGAACTAAAAGGGGTGGGGGGTGACAGTCAGGAGAAGGGTCTTTTCTATAGTTGCAACCCATCTCTAGAACATGCTTTTCAAGGAGTTGTGCCTAGCGCAGTCATTGTTTTCCTTCTGGCACCAGTTGAGGACCTTTTCATTAACCAGATGCTTTAACGGATAGATTGAATTTAATATTGTTTTTATGTGAACTGTTTTATGCTGAATTGTATTTGGTTTTAGTTCATTTTATTGTTTTGTAGAGTTTTTATTGTTTTAAGTTTTTACCTGTAAATCGCCCAGAGAGCTCCATGGGCTATGGAATGGTATACAAACAAAGAAAACCCAGGGGGCACCAGGTTGGGGAAGCCTGGTTTAATTAATTAATTTATTTTTCTATTTATATCCTGCCTTTTTCCTACAAAGGGCTCAAGGCAGCTTACATCATTCTCCTCCTCCATCTTATCCCCACAACATCAATCCTGTGAGGTAGCTTGGGCTGAGAGTCTGTGACTGGCCCAAAGTCACACAGTTGGCTCCATGGTTGAGCAGGGACTAGAACCCGGATCATCTGAGTCCCAGTCCCATGCTCTTAACCACTACACCACACCATATTAACCAGTTTGTCAATCTGAACAACATAACAAGCTGCGCAAGCAGAAGAATGAAAGTGTTTACTTCTCTTCCCTGCTGCAGAGGAGGAGGAGAGGAAAGGTAGCACATGAGTTTGATACTTGTTGCAGCTTATTCCAGCAAATCATGACCAATTATGATGAACAAATTTAGACTATGTCTTGGTTCACATGTAACATTTCATTTCTTTTATAAAACAGGTCTTTAAGCTTGCATTGAAACAAGTGCCTGTGCTGCTCCTGCCTGTATGCTACTTTCAATCCACCCAGAAAGGCCTCTGGCTCCTGGATTATTTGATATGCATTCAAACGCAGAACTCCCAGGTTCTGAAGGACAAACAATCCAAAATTTTTAACCTAATTGTAGCCATGGATCCAAAGGGTCACTGTGTTCCCATGTAGCTGTAAGACCAAGAAAAAAAATACCATACCTGACAAGGAAGCCAAGGTGGGATCTAGGAGACTGTCTGGCACATTTGGGTGACGGATCTTCCAACAAACTGTCTCCAATATCTGTCTTTTCTGTCACACTCAACGAACGCTTTCGCCATTTCTGACAGCTCCCTGTAAAATAAAATCCATATAATCTGCACTGTTAATCTTTAACAAATTTCAGTGAATGTGAGTATTATGAACAGCAGTTTCATACCATTTGATTTGGCAAGGATGCTTCTACATTCTATGCATTCCCAGTTTTGCTCCCAGCTTGTTAGTGATGAACATGCCAAATGAGTTCCACTTGAACCACAGTACTGACAGCGCTTTATTTCCCATTTGCTAAAAGGAAAAAAAGGCTTTAATATGGTTAGTGCAATTTAGCTATGTAGCTATACAACTATCACATCTGCTACAACACATTTGTGTTATTTGATAAAATGGGAGACATGTTATATTTAATACTTTTGACCAGGCTTTCTATAATATGCAAAATGTAACAGAGCACAAATATTCTACTTCATTCCCTTTTCTTATGTCCCTTTCCAAGCACTATATGGGATTCTAATGAGAAGGCTGCCTCCTTGGATTCTGCAGGCTGCTGACTGACCACAACAGACTGCCTGTGAACTGCTGACAGACAGAGAGCTTTCTGCCTTCTATCCTCAGATGCATCCAAGCTCCACGCACATACTCTCAGTCCCCAACCAATCACCTCACTCACTCATCCCTCTCTTTTACCCCCACCTGGCTCTCACCAACATTTACACACATAACACTTTAAGGCATTACAGAGCTCTTTTCACCTATTTACCCACCAAATCTCAAAGGCAGGAGGATAAAAAATGGATCTAATGCTAACCTGAATGTATGGATATATGCTTGTGTGTTTATCTTGGGCAGGAGAACAGAATGCTCCAATGTCATCCAATCCCTAATCAAAGCACTGACTGGAGTACTTCCAGTTGGTGCTTTGATCTAGGCTTTGGCTCTGTCTTTGGGCTTTCCCTGGCTGGAAGAATGCTCTTTCAGTACACCTTGACTGGGCTAGCTTTACTCGCTTCATTCCTTTCCCCTGTTGGATGCAGGCATACAAAGCACTTAATATGCCACCCATCTTTGCAACTGGGGTGATACACTAAGGTAGTGGTCTTCAAACCTGAGGAACCCTTCTCAATATGAAAAATCAGTGCAGAACCCATTGATACATATATTTCAGCTAATAGATTTTATTTGAACAAAATGTTGCAATTAATGTTGCAATAAATACATGTCATACAAGCTAAACAGAACCTTTTTATTACTTAGTAACTAAATACTAAATTTACTAAACACATATACATTTTAATATAGTATCTAACAAATAATGTAAAAATTATAGTTCATTTTAATGACATGGATGTGCTCTTTTGCTACAATGAAAATCAACATTTGGTGTTACTGATGACAGTTGTAAGCACATTTCTGGTTCTGCACCAATTCATTCCTGTATTAAGCTTGTGTGATAGATTACAAGGAATAAGAGTCCACTTGAATGAAACCACTTTGGCTTTAACATGAATTAATCTGCTTTTAAAAGTATATGTGCAAAGGTTTAGAATTAAAAGGAAGAACTTACCTAGTCACAGACTGCTCTCTTTTAAATAAAACAAAGGAATGAATCTCTTCCAATTTCACAGTAATCATAGGAGTAAACCCCTGGATGGTTCTCATGGAACCCTGGGATTCTGGAACACAGTCTGAACACGGTGGCATCAAAGGGAGGCTCACCAGGCAACTACATCTAAAAGTCACTTATTTCTTTCTATAGCTCCATTTCTTATATTCTTAGTATAGCCCTATATGTGGCAGCTGCAGTGTTCAGTGTACTTTGATTTTAAATTAATTGTTGACAGAAGCAGTATTAGCCTATATTTGAAAAATCTAGAAGTAAAGGCAACATATTTGTTTCTGAGAACTGCAAGTATTAATACCTATCAGACTCATTGTAGTCCCTTCCATTTTTGCAGAGGCATCTTTTGACATCACAATGTTGGTAACACTGAAGAAGGTCTTGGTATGCATTCTCTTCCAGTTCCCAGGAGGCATCTCTGGAAACATTCAAACTTTTATTAGAACATTTTAATTCTATAACATAGCCTTTCCTGTTAGAATAGTCTTATGTAAGCAGAGTGACTAACCACAAAACCTTACAATATCATTTTTAAAATATATACTATATTTTGAGAAGTACTTACTTTTCTGGAATATGGATGCCCATTCTCAACATTTCATTCTGAAATTTCTCTTTATTATTACATACTGGGCATCGGAAAAAAAACACTCCTGCACTCAGGGCTTGACACTACATTGAAAAAGAGAAAAAGAAGGATAATTTAAAAATTGACAGGCAGGCTACTAGTTACCTCTCTACATTAGTAGCTATGCTGATCATGATTTGTTATCAAGCTTGCAAGTAGCCTGCTTTAAGCTTTCACTTTAATGCTTACTCTGAGTTTGTAAGGCTTTTCAGGAAAACAATATATTCTCACCACACACTGGCAGAGGCTGACACTGCCATTAGTTGTGGCTAAAGAGCAAGGTAATATCATATTGAATAAAACTGGAAGCATTATTCATATCGAGAATGCAGATCTAGAAAACCAATCTAGGATGCTGATTTTGAATAGTCAGTGGAAAACGCTGATGATACCAGATTGGTTTGGTAGTTCTAATTTGGTTTTCTAACAGAGAACTCATTTTCCAAAGTATATGTTATTGTACATGCCCTTTCATATCCATGCCCTTTTTATCCTTGCTTCTCCCTTTACTTCTACCCTATGGACAAAACTTGTATTATAAATTTCAGTAACTAATAACAACACCTTGGATTAATCTCAGTGGGGTACGATACTGCACAACAGTTCTTGGGACTTGCATGCTGATGTTACACTATAATGACACCACTGATTCTCTATCAGAACAATTTTCTTCTGTGCTAATTACTGTATTAACTACCAAGTTGTTTACTTTTTATTGCACAATACAAAACCAAGCTGTACCATAAGAAAAGAAGTAAAAGGGAGAAAATGAAGAAGTTACAATATTAGGAAAAAAAGTGTAATATTCCAAGTTTGTTGCATTTCTACAGGACTACTGTGCATCTTTTTTGACTGTTTTAGACTGCTGGTAAAAGATCTTTACTCCACCCAACTTTTAATTTATCTTCTGCTGTAATTCTTTGCTTTCTACAGCTATGTGTTACTACTTCAATTCGTGTTTTACCTGATCTGTTTCAATATCCTATATATTAATAGCAGAAACATTCTCCACATGTGGATCTCTGTGTAGACTGAGTGATACCAGCCATGCATGAGAAGATACTCCAGCAGCCATGGGAATTCTAAAGTTTTCAGAAGTACCTCCCCCTTCAGGATTTCAAAAATTCCTTTTAGAAGAAAGCATGTCTGACTGGCACAAACCCCGAACGACAGCATTTTACAACTCAACATTTTGCTGCACATTTCATTTACATCAAACGAACCACTGTCTATTTTACGCTGTGCTGCTTTTTAGTATTAAAACGGAGTACTACAATTGTGGCATTCCAGACGTACCTGCAAACAGTCTCTATGAAACCAAGCATTTTTACAGCATGGGCTTGTCAAAATGTTGTATGATGGTGCATGTTCAACCAACTCCAAACATATTGTACATTGTGATGATCCTTTTGAGTTAGCGGGGCGTTTTTGGATAGGTCGGTGTTTCCAACAAAATGACCTTAAATATATATATATATATATATATATATATATATATATAGAGAGAGAGAGAGAGAGAGAGAGAGAGAGAGAGAGAGTCAAAACTGCATATAAACACATCTCAGGTAACTACAAAAATAACCTGAATGATAAATTTCAAAATTATTAGTTAAGTTTTAAAAACTGCAGCCTCTCAAACTAGTAAAATAGACTTACTGGACTTTGAAACAAGATACTGCTAGTGACAAAAGCACTTGTGGCTAAAATCCACTTCATCAAAAGTGGCCACCTAAAGCAAGTGGGTATATATAACTTACGTAGAGAGAGAAAGACACAGAAAGAGAAATGGTTCCCTTAAAAACAAACAAAAATAAACAACTGAGCCCAAACAGGAAGGAAAGCCTGAGACTGATGTGACAATTATACGGGGCCCTTCCTCTTCAATCAAAAAGCTTTAGTGGGTAAAACATGACAAAAGTATGAAATACAGGTGAAATCAGTCTAATTAGATAATACTGACTAAAGGAAGGTGAGAATATCTTTCAAAAGGTACAGCAGCAAGGAAAAATTACTTTCATGTTGGGGAAATTTAATGTGGAATTCTTGGATGCACCAAAAGGAACTTGGGTATTTTAAAATTACAAGACTTTTTCCTGAAAGAATAAGAATACCGACTTACGGAAAATTTCCCATGAATTGGAAAATGCATCCCCTCTCCATCCCACAAGGAAAGTGGTAGCTTCGTTTGCATCTTGACGCCACACAACCAACTGAAGCACCTTTTCTCTTACAGATAGCGCATTTCTAGAAAGAAGCGATTGAATATACTAAACTAAAGCAGACCAATAATCCGTTCATCTATTTTAAATGCTTATTTTAGGCTCTATGTTCTCTTCAAGATTTAAAAAAGAGAACTGTAGTATAGAAGTAAATTTAAAAAATGGATATAAAATAAGTTAAGAAGAATGCTTACTGAGCTGCACTACAAAGTTATTCATTACTACTAGCCATTCATTATTACATTATTAGACCTTCTCATTTATTGTAAAAGTACTTGGATACTTTGTACTATAGGAAATTTGAAACATCAGTGGTTTCAGAAATATTTCTTCAGTACTTAATTCTTCATACGGGGAAAAAAATCACACAAATCCTTTAAATTTCTTCAATTTTCAGAATTTTCTATAGATAGGTCAGCACTGTAGATAGGAAATAAAAGATTGCCTGATTTCTGTCTCATTTTACTAACTTGGTTAATATCAAATAAAAACACTGCACACCCACTCATCAGAATAGTCTGTTACCTCCATTATTTTATACAAAATCCTATTTACTTTGATCATATGAAACACTGGTTTCCTATTTTTTATTTAACAAACCATTATATATAACTGGAATTATTAAAGATTCAGTCTTAAAATACCAAAGTATCTTACTTTTGATTCCTGCTAAAAAATCTTTTCTTCTATTTTTTGTGGAGCAATGTCCTCTTACAAAAATAACAAACATATTTTGGACATTTCTGGAACCAAGGTTAAAACTCTGATTAATTTAACTGATCGATTGTTAGCACAGTTATGTTTACCCAGCTAGTCTCATAGATCAATTGAGAACTGTGGTTTAGATTTTAATTCAAGCCAAAAATAAAAAAGTTGCAGCTTAGTTTGCTACATTTGGTTTTTTTTAATCTAACATAGTTTTTTTCACAATTCTGCCCAAATTGTTAAAGTTACTTTTAACTATGCATACATTCTTTAACCCAAAACAATTTTACTCAAAACTTGCCTATGACATTAAAGCAACATGCAGCCTTATTAAATAATTTGCAAACAAGCTGAACTATCACCTTTCTCAGCATAATGTACAGTCTACTTGGTGGCATATGCCTCTGACCAAACAAGTCTTTCAAAAAGACTCAACATAAAAGGTATATTCTTACCAGTCTTGCAGCTCGATTAATTTCCTTTTGGATGTCTTCAGGTAAAAACCCATAAAAACCTTCTTCGTCTTCACCTCTCTGCCAAATCCCACTTGACATTAACTATGATGAAACAAATGGCTTACTGACAACCAACACAATATATGGGCAATATCCAGTACTGCCCAAGTGCCAATGGGACCCATCACTTATACAGTGGAGGCTTAGCACTTCGGATAGTAAGGTAAAGTAAACTTGACTTATTCTACATTTTCTGGGATGGAGAGAAATGAAACAATAAACATGACTACAAAATAGCTACTCTTTTTAAAGTTGTGACATCTGCAGATTGTTCCATTGCATATTCCTCAGAAGCAACTCCCACTGAGTTCAGCAGGGCTCACTTCCATGGGACTGCAAGTCTTGGCTTATGCCCTGGTCCAGAGGTTCTTTCAAAGTATGTTACTAGTATGTATGCAAAACTGAGTTATCTGTTTAAATTCCTCATACAATGGGATGGCATATTTACAAGAGTTTTCTGGCATTCACAGAGTTCTCTTTTTTCAGAAATCACCTTCAGACAAGATTTGGCTTTTGTGTCATTACTATAAACGTATCAGCACAACAACTATAAATGCAAAACATGTGTAGATTCAAATACATCATACATTCAACATAACCTGAAGTCAAGTCTTCTCAGTGAATTCAAAACAATCATTAGTCTTCAAACTCACCAGGCAACATGTTGGACAGAGCTGATCCAAAAGGACGGCTCACATTATTACACACTAGTGTGTGTGTGTGTGTGTGGGGGGGGGGCACTATTAAACACATTTAGTTTACTTTTACTTTATTGATATTCTGTTAAGTTACTTTTCTAATGATAATTCTTATTCGTATATCAACTTCTGTCTAAACAGCATCACCTCTTGTTGAAATAAATAGCTATAGTAGAATACATATATAAGCATTCTGGAATTCCATGACATATTACAGGCATGCTTGTGACATAAGTTTTCTTAGATTCCATTCCGTTTCATGAGTATCGTTTCTCAAAACACACCTTCTGTATTTACAGTTTGAGAATTTCCTCCTTACTACTATATCTGATCACCTTCCTGTTTTATCATTTTTGTGATTTTTCAAGATTGATGTCATTATATATTTAATATAGGCATCGATTCCATGGTGACAAAACTGCAGAAACTGGCACTTATTGTTTGGAATTCTTTCTTAGCAGAAAAAGAGTAATGAGCCAACTGTCAATTACTAGTAGTCTGGCACTTTCATTTCCCATGTGGAAAGCCTTAAGAAAAAAAAATCTTGTACCAAAAGACTGAGTTGAGTTGTACTTAACTTCAATATTCTATATTTTAATCCAGAATTTTGTTGGAGTATTCTAATTATTGAATTTCCTAATTATGTTAATAAACCAGGATCATAAGCTACAATTTCATATTAATCTGCTTGAAAAGCCATATATCACCAGCATTCTTTCCCAGGTCAGATGCAAAAATAATCTTCTGTTTAACTAAGGAAATGTGATGGTTCTGAAGGAGGGGGAAGCACGCAATCCTGAGTTTCCTCTGATTGCTTTACTTACTTACTTATGTATTTAGTGTAGCACTATGTTTTAGTGCTATATTCAAAACTGATTCTAATGAAGAGATTCTGGTAATGAGTTTTCCCCTGCTAAACTGTGGTATATTAAAATGCTGACTGCATCTTATCATGACAGAAATCACATTCCATTCTTAATTGAAAGGAATGTTTCTCTGGCATCACATTGTTATTCCAGATAATTTGGATTCCTGGAACAGTTACAGAATATAGTATTTTACAAGCTTACAGTGGGAATTATTTTCCAGTTTATGTTGTTCCTAAGCTTTCCTCAAATTAGCAAGCTATCTGATAGTCATCCAGCACTTTTCAGGTTAAACAGGAAATACTTACTACACAGTAATAATGAACAGTGAGATTGTAGTCCTCATAAGTCCTCTTTTCCCCATATTTTTCAGGACATTCATCAGCCCGTTGACAAAATTCGCAGGCTAAAATTAAAAACAACACACACACACACTTAAGTACTATGGCACTACTATTGTTCTAATGCTAATAAAACTGTAAAATATATTTAAGGGAGAATGTACATAAGACCAAGATAAACAGAAGATTATCATTAATACAGAGGATTAATCATTCTATGTATGAAATACCATATTCTGCACACTATTGCCAAATTCTGATATTAAAAGTTATTTTTAACATAAAAACATACTTTATTCTAACAGTTTAATAGAACTCAATAAAGGACAGTTTCCAAATAACAAAAATGCTACAACTACTAATTAAAACTACTAATGCATGTCCAGAAAAACCAGTTTAAGATTGCATTGAGTCTTAGTAGCAGAATAAAGTAAACATCTGAATGTATTCATTTAAAACCAAGACCCAGTTTCTTGTCTACAGGGTTGTGCAACTTGTGGAAGCCAATTCCCCCCTCAATCCTCTTGGGAGCTACATCCCTACAAGGCAACAACCAAATAAAGGTCTTAATTTTCCCCCTTAAAAAGGTGAAATTGGCCTTTTTTGCTTCCATACTAGTGAATTTCAACAGCAAACTAACTTGTTTTCTTGAAAAAGAAAGGTCTTTTTGCATTCAGGCTGCTGAAATTCAGTAGTGGTGGGATAACAGGAAAAAGGTGTGGGGCCAAGTGTACCACATGTATCCTAGGTACTGTGCACTTCTACTTTACTGTATCAAAACTGATTCTTTCAAAATAGAAGTTGCATGACCAACCCCTCTCCATAATCCATTTGTGCCAATATGATCAGTCTATATATGTAGGCTTGAGGAGAAACAGGGTTGATGGACTGCTTTATGAAAAGCACATACAGACTTAACATTCAAGGAAATAACCAAGCAAATGTGATCAAGTCAACAGTCAGAAGACACACATGATACCACATGCAGTGCTCCCTTACCAGGTGTCCTCCAGATGTTTTGGACTAGAATTCCAAGCATTTCTGACCATGCTACCTGAGGTTGATGTGTGCTGCAGTCCAAAACATTCAGAGGGCACCAGAGGGAATAGTTGCCATAATGCATTACTAGATGACACTTCTTTTTTTGTTAACTGAAATATAATCACTTAATTAAACAAGCTTTGGTTGTGTTGGCACTCCTATAATGTGCAGTGGTACCAGGGTATCATTAGTAGCCTTGCGATTATTGATCATGAGCAGGGCACTCTCTAATGACACTGTTAACAGGAATTTTTAATAAGCAAACTGCATAAAAAGCACTTTTATGCAAATCTATGATTGGATTTAGCTTAATTGTTCCATTTTCAATTAAAGCATCAAAGGCATATTATGAATAGTACTTACACATGTTCAGATGGCAGTCAATATTTTCACTCATCCTAGAGTTCTTCTTCCAACTGTGCAATATGGAGAGAAAAAATCAGCTGCAGCACAAGTTTAATATAAATCTTTAGTCTAATAACTATTTATTTTTCTTTCTTTCAAATTAAAAGTAGAGAAGATAGAGAAATACTGTATTAACTATCCATAACACTTCCATTATCATGTCAAATCTAGCCTCAAGTTTGTTTCTAATTAGTAGTTTATTGAAATCTCCCATTATCTTTAACATATACCACTTACTAATATAAAGAAATAAAATAAAATGAATATAAAATGAAAATTATCATAAACTTTATGTAAAATGTTATAGAATATACTTGTAATTCAGAAAAGCAAATACATTATATCTTTGGTGATACAAAATTATCTGGAAGAAAATAAGTTTCCTGTCCCGGTTGTTAGCTATTCTCTGCAAATTAGCTGAGTGTCCTGCTCTCAGTCTTCATCCAGATGGGTAAAAAAAGAAAAAAAGATAAAGAAAAGGGGAAGGAGGGGTGGGGAGGGGATGAGAGGGGACTTAAGTATTTTATGTCAACTGAACATGTAAGCAGTCAGATGCAATAATAGGTCACAGAGGCTATTGCTTTGGAGCCATTAGGTCACAAAGGCTGTTGCTTTGGGGCAATACCATTGTCATCAAAGCAGTCTAAAAAGGAATTTCATAGACCAGTAAGTTTATGCAAAGTATTCCTTTGTATAAATATCTTCCCAGAGAGTTCACTACTCAGTCCCCAATATCAGGTGGAAAGTTGGAATCTCCAGTGCTATGACTTAGCAATTAAGGCCACATGTCAAATCCAAGTTGCAGGTGTCTTATTTATGGCTCACAGAACTGGAAAGTAGCCAAGTGAATTAAGGAACATGTACAGTAATGTGTCTTCAGTTCCAATACAATTTAGTTCTAAGCCTCTAGCTTATTTTACCTCAAATATTAGATTGGCCCAATGTTGGTCTGGCAAAGTGGAAGGGTGTATATAATGAATGTGAACTAATATCCTGAGTCTTTCATTGGGTGTGGAGCTCATTTCTAGTGGTCCAAGAATATAGCATAAATGGCACAAACATCAAGTTCCAGTGAACATTTATGGAATCAAGGTTACGAACTGAATATCTTCTTGCTGCTTTGGAGGAAACAGAAAAGTGGCATGGTTCAACAATATTCCTTCTGCATATGAAAGGGATTATTCAACTTATGGGAAGAACGAAAATCTAGTTGAGGCTCCACTAGGGAAGGAAAATTTCACTAATTCTCCTTCCAGAGCAGCATTTTAATGGGTACTGAGGGAAGGAAGAATCAGCAGAAGTTACCCCTCCCCTCACTTCTTCTAATATATAAGCATCTTATGAATAGAGCTTCACTCATGGGAACTCTAGATTCAGGACAGTATTTCCAAGGGAAAAAAATGATTTAGGCATTTCAGAGACAGTACAAACCTCAGGCCAAAAGAAAAAAAAAACTCATTATTGTATTTAGTTTACAATTTTGTGAACTTGGGAACTGAGTAACTGTGAGAACGTAATAATATTTTTATCAATTCAGGTTTGACATAGAAAAAGATGATTCCCTATCTGACCATATATAGAAGGATAAGATTTTGGTTTATCAGTCAGTAACGTCTGATTAAACTTTGCTGCAGCACAATAGTTAAAATGAGACTTTTTAAAGTACTTACAAAACTTAAAGATGTTTTGCCTGAGGTGAGGCAATAGTAGAAATAAGAGAGCTCCCGTGTCCTCCACCTTGTTTGAGATTGTTCATCAGTTTCTCTCCATCTAAGGTAAGTCTAAGTATGCGAACAGTTATGGGATATTCAGACTACAGATCAATTATGATGGTATCTGAATCAGATGACTAATTCTATATGATAAATCAACTCAAATTTGCATAATTATTGAATTTTTAAATTTTTTTCCCTCTTTCTAGCATAATGGAAATTTGGTTTCAATTTGGTTTAAAAAAAACAATAAATGTACAGTCAGCCAAAATATCTTTAAAGATAATTACCATTTTGAAGTTAAAACAAAAACCTCATTTCTTGACTAATTTTATAAGTGGAAATTATAGAATGCCTAGAATCAATTTGCTAATGGGCACCATTCATACAGCCCAAATAACTTTAAGCAGATTATTATTTTTCTGCAGAAAACTACTGATGTTGACAATTAACTGGTGGAAAATATTACTACTTTATTTTAGAAAGTAATTAAAATAATTCTGAAAAATGAGTACTACTAGATTTTGGATTCGACCAGCACATTTACCTATTTTAATCAGTAAAGAAAGCATTCTTAACATACTTCTATCTTTTATTTTTACAGTAGTAAATAGGCTTTGAAATGTGATAAAGCAATATGCCATCTGAAATCAGCCATAACTTCTGAAAACTATGAAAATAAAACAGTTCATTTTTAAAACACACTTTTGGAAAATCTGTACAAAATAAGGCAAAACTTTTTGGGTCACCTTTCAATTTAAGTAACTCAGACAGTGAGCGAAGTCTGATTTCAACATCAAGCCTGCACTGCCATAAACAAAAAGTTTTCAAAACAGACAGATTTCAATAGAATGTTCCAAGCATACAAAACAAGGGAACCAGGCAGAATTTCAAATACATGTTTTCCCTTCTATTAAGTAGCAACAAAGACTGACTGCCCTTCAGGGGCTTTCACAGATGCCATTTCAGTTTGCGGTATGTGCCTTGAATTTAAATATGAAAGGGGCTGAGGTTCACATTGTGGTCTGTGACAGCCTAATGCTACCATTTAAAAGGACACCACTGGGCTATTTGTTTAGCAAATCATATTCAGTTTTCAGCGGAAATGCTCACCAAGATGAATGGCAGCTCCCAGAGACAACAATCAGACTGAGTGTATTATGCTTTCCAAGTCTGAAAAGATCTTAAATTCCTGAATTGAGGAACACCTTAAAGTCTTTCAACCCCATCCTAAACATGTTTATTCAAAATTAAGTCCTACTGAGATCAATGGAACTCATTTCCTAATATGTGTGCTTTTGACTCACTACTCTGGCACAGAAACCAATTTAGTTCAGAACCCCAAACCCTAACTTAAATCTTGGTAGGAACATATTTCAACCAAATATTTTGATGTGGGTTAAAGAAACAGGGGAGCAACTGCGTGTGCACATGTGTGGTACTAGATTAAGGCAAGAGGCTAAGCCCTTTTACAACTGCTGTCAAAATGAAAATCAGTTACTACAGTAATAGTGACCAGCAATTTGCTTGGCCATGAGGAATAATGCCATCCCATGAAACAAGCATATAAGAGTTAGAAATGAGTTAAAGACCTCATTTGCTCAGTAAACAATTCAAAAAACAAAACAAAAAACTGCACTGATTGGGAAAAGAAGAAAAAAGACAAAATGGTACCATTCCTTGTGCTGGAGGAGGAGGTAAGAAGGCAAAGGAGTGCTTTTCCCAGATCTCCTTCCTTCCTGGGCTGTTATTACCTTGTCTGTTTACTTAGTGTTACCTTTATTGTTACCCTTCTTCCTTGAGTAACTGGGAATTAGAGTCTCTTCAGTGGTGATGATTGCCCAGTTGTGGAATATTTTGATACCCGCTTAGCACTTTTTATGTTACTGTTATGTGCTCTCCATTTTCTCCAAATGGAGAGATGTTCCAGGGGCATTTTCCTCAGTTTTGGGTTTCTTGGTTCATAGTTCAACTATGGAATTAGTTAAGGTGGTGCTGTTGGTGGGTGGATTTGTCCAGCTGGGAGATATTCAACCTGTCCTGGATGGGGCTGCATTCCCCCTAAAGGACACGGTGCATAGTTTGGTGATGCTCCTGAATGCAGAATCATCACTCAAGTCTCAAGTAGACTCAGTGGGATAGAGCACCTTCCATCAACTCAGATAAGTTGGCATGGAGCACCTTCTATCAGTTTTACCAGCGACAACCCTATCTGGACAAACAAACCTATCCATGCTCCAGTAACATCTCATTTGGATACTGTAATGCCCTCTTTGTGGGGCTGCCTTTGAAAACTGTCTGGAAAGATCAACTGATTCAAAACAGGGGAGCACAGCTGTTAGCAGAGACTGGCCCATCAATTCACATCACTTGCAGCTGCACTGGCTGCCAGTTAAAGTCCAGGCACAATTCAAAATGCTTGTACTAACATTTAAAGCCTGAAATGGCTTGCAGTCTGGGTATCCGAAGGGACATCTTTTCCTTATGTACCCATCCAGACCTTAAGATCATCTGGGGTCCTTCTCAAGGATTCCCTCCAGAGAAGTGACAACCAGGAGAAGGATCTTCTCAGTTGTGACACCCCACCTTCTGAATTAGCTCCCCAGAGAGGTTCACCTGGTACCCACTCTTTTTTCCTTTCAGTGCCAGGTGAAAACTCCAGGCATTTTAATAGTTAATAGTTAAAATTGTAGTTTTAATAGGGTTTTATTGGATGCTGCTTATTTGTGTACCAATTTGACTAGTCATCTTGGGGTTATTATTGCTGTTTTTTGGTTACTATTTTTATTGTGTTGTTATTTTTATCTTTGCTTATACAGGTTATGAATGAGTTCCATTCCTGAGAAAACGGAAATTCATCTTCAAGTCAAATTTGTATGTAAATTGGATTACATATAGACAGCTCTCCACATTTGCAGGAGGTAGGGGGTTGGAACCCCCATGAAAGTGGAAAAGCCATGAGTATCTCTAGCCCCACCCCCATCCAAACTCATCAGTGCCTCCTCTTTGCAGCAACTAAATGCCAAAGAGATTTTCCTCTCTGAATGGGCAGGGCAGGAAGGCCTGCTTTAGACAACTCCCTCTCTCCTCTTGCTTCCTTTCTCTTTATGGTGATGTTTCCTCCCTGGCTCCCCTTTCACTTCTTCCCTCTCTGTGGTGATGACAATTTCTGCCCATAGGCCTTTAATTCAAATTTTAAATTAATAGGCTGTAAGGCAGTTCATTTGTAAGTATGGGTTGTTATAACTTGGAGGTTTGTAACTGGAGAACTACCTGTATTTTTAACTTTGTTATCCACTGAGAAGCCTTTCTGGCTGGGGGGGGTGGTATATGAATGAAATAAATAGTATTAACAATAGTATAATTCATGTCCACAAGGTCCAGTGATGGACACCAGTTTGGATAGTTTTAAAGGGGCCTGAACAAGGGGCAAGAATATAGCTGACTATCAGTCTTGATGGCTATTATGTTACTCCCAGGATCAGAGGCACTGTATCCGTTTACACTGATGAAATCCTGCACATGCCCTTTTAAAATTTATTACATTTATATTCTGCCTCTTCCACCAAGGTGGCATACACAGTCCTCTTGCTCTCAATTTTATCATTTACCTGCGAAGTAAATTAGGCTGTGGGTCAATGAGAGCCCTAAAATCACCTGCAGAGCATCCTGATGGTCAAAGCGAAATCTGAATCAGGGTCCCCCTAGTCCGATACCCTATTACACCACACGCAGAAAGCGAGTCCTGAAGGGCTTGCTGCCAAATAAGGATGCACAGACTTCTAGCTTAAGCCCGCAAGCTTAACAATATTTGCTGGGGCGTAAATTCCACTGTGCACAGTGACTTCCTTTAGAGTAAACGCCACAGGATCAGTCCTTCGACTATCTTTATTGCCTTTGTTATAACAGACTGGGGGAATTTGTATCCATTTAAGCCTACCAGCCTGCCTCAACGTCCTCCTGAGCCACCTCAACGATTATACGCCTTATCCTGTCGTTTGGTTACCGGGCAGCAAGTCCCGTCGAGTTCAAAAGGGTTTACTCCAACGGAGGCGTGCATCTAGGGTTGCAGCCTTAATAGAACTCCGCCTTTCCCCAAGCTGGTGTCTCTCCAGCAAGAGATGGTAGGAGCTGCCGTGCAAAGGCATACGAGCGGCGCCAGGTTAAGAAGGTGAGTTGCACTGAAGGAAAAAGGGCGACGGTTCGGCGCTAGGGGACCCTGCAGGACTCCGCGCGCCCCGAGAAGCGTTGGCGTCGCGCCCGCGCGCCCTCGCCGCCTTCTGCGCGCCGCCTGCCTCGGCCTGCCGCCGCCCCTCGCGGCTCGAGCGACGGCTCTCATGGCCCCCCGGTAGAGCCAGGACCCCACTCACCGACTCGCTCCGTAGAGCGCCCACGTCCACTCCAAAATAACCGCCGGAGCATTCAAACCCCAACATCCGCTCACGTCACAAAAGGAGGCGCGAGGGAGCTCCGCCTCCTCGCCCCGTTCCCGGTTTGCCTCGATCCATTTATTGGACGCTCGACTGCCGTTGCCTTAACAGAGTCCCCGGATTGCGGAGGGGTTATGCGGATGCGGAGTTTCGAGATTTGCTTGCTTCTGTCTCGAGCCGCTGCGCTGGCGGGCGGACCGTGTTGAGCACCTATGCAGTCAGGTGCTCGAATGTGCTTCCAGTCCGCGTCTTACTCCAGATTCCCGTGATTGCTTTTGCGCTTGTTAGCAAAGAACAAACAATTTATGGAGCCGAATTGGAGAGGGAGTCGCCTCTTCCCTTCAATCGGGCAATCCTGTGTGCACGTACCTTGGAAGTAAAAGCTGCTGGAATTTAAGATTGTGCTGCTGCTCGATCCCTTTTATATACACGCGCTAGGAAATCCTCTTGCTTTAAGAATGTAAGAGGGACCCTACTGGATAGGACCAAGGGTCCTTCTTGTCTAGTTTTCGGTTCCCTCAGTGGGCAACCAGCCGGCCGCGGGATCCCACAATCACGATGGGACCGCCACAGCACCCTCCCTCGCTTCCCTCTTCACTAGGATACTGCCGCTGATTGTGGAGGAAACATTCATCCATCCCGACTGTTGCCCATCGATATCTTTTCTCTATATGAACGTGGCCAATCTTCTTACAAACCATCCAAATAGGTGCCCATCACTAAACTTCGTTGAAGTGAGTTCCACAGTATGTCAACTGTGTTAGGAAATACTTCCTTTTATGTGGTTTTTCTTTATTTATCAAGGGGCCATGTGGCTAACGGGGCGGGCTAAAAAAAGAAATTCAGTCCTGAATCTCTTACTAAGCAGTTTCATGGGATCAGTTGGGCACTGGTATTATGAGAACCTTTCTACACGAGGCATTTATTGCTGTGGCTTGCGATTCCTCACTCATGATAGTTTGCTGGTGCAACCATTTTAGCGTTTCGTTCCCTAGAGCGCAAAGTTGGTTTATTTCTGAACAGTGGCGGAAAACCTTAGCATAAGAGTGTGATTTTGCAATACTGCAGCGCCACCTATTCGTTGTGCAATGCAACATCTAGACCAACCCCAAAATGTATAAAAGTGACTTTTATAAGTCTCTTGTAATATAAAAGAGTGGGAGAAAAATATCTCCCTATTCACTTCTATACTATGCACTATAAATCATTTTGCAGACCTTTATGATGTCTCCTTTTCCTTGCCTTTTTTTCTTAGCCTAATAGTCTCAGATGTTGTGACCTTTCTTCATAAGAGAGTTGCTTCAGCCTCACAATTATTTTAGTAGCTTCTTTGTGCATTTTGCTGAGTAAGCAGAAATAGGATTGCACCCTTTTAGTGGAGTCATAAACATACATGCATACTTGTTCAAAAGCAAGACAAACTAAGTTCCATGGCCTTACTCTAGTTAGCAAGTACAGAAAGCATCTCCTTGCTACCACATTTGTGTCCCCAGCGTTCAGTCACAGTACATTGAAGTTCTAAATAATTGGGATTAAAATTTTACTCCCTCAGACACTGATCTGTATATATGATTGTATTCCCAATCACCATGTGTGAGTGTGAAAGCTGGACAGGGAAGAAAGCCAACAGAAAGAAAATTGATTTGTTGGAAACATGGTGCTGGAGGATTGCTTTGTGAATACCTTGGGTTGACAGAAAGATGAACAATTGGATCCTAAATCAAATCAAGTCAGAACTTTCCTTGGAAGCACAAATGATAAAATTGAGGCTGTTGTACTTTGGGCACATCATGAGAAGGCAAGACTCACTGGAGAAGACATTCATGCTAGGGAAAGCCTGGCAGAAGAAGGGGAAGATGCAAGAGGAGATAGATAAATTCCATAAAGGAAGCCCGAGCTCTGAGTTTGCAAGAGCTGAGCAGGCCTGTCAGTAACGGACTATTCTAGAGGGCTTTCAGTTATACAGTTACTATAAGCTGAAGATGACACATAACTACTACCACCTTGAGTACAATTCTTAGTGAAAAGGTAGGGATATAAAATAATAGCATTTTTTCAGAGTTGTTGCCTTCAAAATAACATGTTGCCTTCCTGAGGTTTAATTCTGAGTCAACGTGTAATGGACTGGGCTGTATAACTGTCCATTGGAGTACATTTATCCCTTACCAGTTTTCAGAGGTAATAAATTAACCTTTTCCCATGTGATATTTTTAAAACATGGGAGTGATTTGCAAGAGTATTCCCATTTTTCAAAAATCTGGGAAACAGGAAAAAATATGAAAATTCATAACACTGTAATTTTTAGAGATTATTTACCTTGCTTGATCTGCTTTTCATCAGTGGTTGTTCCAGATCATTATTTTCCTCCCCTTACTCCCCTAATAGATAGGTTTTGTCATCTTAACAAATTTATGTAGCAATTACTGCTTTTGCTAAGATAGCATTCCTGCTGAGCAATTAAAATAGAAAAAGATAGCTTTCAGGGGGTGCCATTCTAGTATTCCATGTAAAGAGTTTCTGCCTGTGTCTTTCAGGTATAGTCAAAATGTACAAGTCAGTGTTTAATTTCGGTTGCTGTTTGCTGTCCCATTTTTAATGTCTCAACCTTAAGAGTTGGAAACCAGCAGTGTTTACTTCTTTCCACAAAAGTTCCAGGAGTTGCTCTAGCTGGCCAGGCTGCTAAAACTCATAATAAGGACTAGAAGGAAGTAGAACCATGCCACTCCAATGGATTATTCCATGGATCCAGTCAGTCTACTGAACTACTCCACTTGACCTGCTGCACATACAAGATGATCCTCTTAGACTGCAATCCAATACCCATTTATCAGAGAGTTGCATGGACTTGAATTGCTAGTGTTTATTTTCCCCGTACTAGTGCTTGGTGTTCCAAGAAAGTGACAGGGTCAGCCTGCCCTGGGTATTACTTCTTGTTTATGACCAGTATGTTTCCTTGCCTTTCTCTATAAGGGAGGTAAAAATTTCCTTCATCACTACTCCTGGCTTGCTGCCAGTGGCCCAGCAGAATGATGGCTACTTGGACGCCTCCATACAATGAAGGTGCAAGTCAAAAAACATTACATAATTTAAAGACTAAAATAAAAAGATAGTTTTTCACACATAAGAGCATCGGGGACAAACATAAATCTTTAAGCAGTGCCTTACACAGGAAAAGACGCTTTTCTGAGGCCTCTGTGGGTACCCCCAGGAGGACCTCTCCTGTAGATCTTAACAACTGGGTAAGTTCACAATCTAAGGTTGTCCCTTAGATAGCCAAGTCTACTTTATGCTAAGGTTGGAGGAAAAAACAGTTTTGCTTTGATGCTGCTCGCCTATATGTTTACGTTCTCATGGGTTGTCCTGGGATTTTCATAGGATGTTTAGGTTTTTGTTAGTGAGTGTCTGATGACATTCTCATGCTTGTGTCTTCCTTGTTCAGTCTCACCTCATACTACTGCCCATCCAGAGGTGGATTTTTCCACCAAGTGACTGGGTTCCACAATTGCTGTGTCCTCTAAACTGGCAGGGATGGGCAGTGGAGGTGGCTTCTGAATCAGCCCAGAAAAAGACATGTAGTAGAAGTTACTCCTGCTAGGCTTGGACAACACAGCAAATGCACAGGGCATGGGCAGTTATGGAAATAAGGCTGCATGTGACTGATAGATGCAGAGTGAAGGAGAGAAGCCAGTGTGGCTTCTTTTCATTCCCTGATCATGTGAATCCAGCGAGATCATAGCATGGCCATGGAAATGATATTAAAAGGTAAGGGTAGACACTGAGTTGGGTGCATATAAAGGTATATTGTCTGAGCAGATTCTTTTAAACAGAAATTGTGACCACAATAGAAAAATAAATATGTAGGCCTTTTAAGAAAGGGATGTTTTGATTATAGTTGTTCACTGTTTCTCATCCTGGTATTTGTTAACTTGAAGCCAGTACAGATACAATTCTAGCAGTGAGCTTTTGTGCCTGCATCTCACACTTCATTTGTGTAAATCCCACCGGTGATTATCTGGTTAGCCTGCATTTGTGGTTAGGTTCATTCATTCATTCAATATATTTTACAGCGCCTTGGAAACATGGAAAGGCAGAGGGGAATTGCAAGGGTGAGGGACTCTGTTAGCCTGACTCTCCATCTAACAATTCTGTCTATTCATCCTTACTTATAAATATATGGGGTCACCTTTCAGCCCAAAACCAGCACCTGAAGTAACTAACAGTTAAAATGGTGATAGATGGGCACTGATCCTATACCTGTATTGCTAGTTTCAATGGAAGCAGTCTTCATATCTAGACATGTAGAATACTTGCTGACTACTTATTTATTTGCTCTAACTGAATGGCTTTTACACTGCTATTTGTGGCTGTCAAGAGTTCTTTCCATCCAGTGCAACAGTGACTGCATGATAATTCTGGTAGCCTTGCCCTAGAATAGTATGGGTAAAATACAGCTTAAATGGCATCTGTCTTGCTCTATCTTAAACCATTTTAAAGTCCAAAAGTAAGTTAAGTTTACTTTACTCAACAGGGCTTACTCTCACTTAAGTGTGCAAAGAAAGGATCACAGCTTTAGTTACAAAATTAAAAGATAATTAATTCCTGGTCTGTAATGCTCTAGAGCAGAAATGGATATCAAATTGGCTCATATTATGATTTTGTGATCATTTCTCTTTCACATTTCCTAACTGCCGACTTACCACTCCTTAGGCATAGCATTTTGTTGTTTACTGCAGAACATAACTTTTCTTTTAAATTCTCCTCTATTATATTCTTATATCCTTGTGTGAGTGTTTTGATCCAGAAATAGCCTCTGACTGTGCTGGGTGCCTTTTAAATTCAAACACGCCACCTTCTTAGCAGCAGGACCTTTTTCTCAAAACAGCAATTTCAGGTCTCTTGTTACAGGGTAGCTCAGATAATAAGTAGCTACGTGAGTGGCACTGCTTGGGAATGATATCTCCCCTGCTGTGTGACCATGAGGTCTCACCAGGC